TCACTAATGTTATTTAAGAACAACCAGGGACTATTGCCTTATATTTGTGATCCTGAGAAGGTACACTCCCAGGATTCTGTTCTGACCATTGTAGGTCTATACTATGGTTTGAATCTGGTTTGTTCTCTCCAAATCTGATGTTGAAATTTAACCCAATTTTAAAATATTGTGAGTACTGCAAAATCCAAATATAATTCTAAATATAATTTAGAAGTAAGGCTTCTGGGAGATGATTAGGATTAGATAAGATCATCAAGGTGGAGTCCCCATGATTGAATGCCAGTGATGTTATGAGAATGAGGAGACCAACACACACACACACACACACACACACACACACACAGAGTGTCCTGTCTCTCCCCATGTGATACCTAGTAAGGCTTCCATACTCCGTCAGCCTAGGATGCCATCATCAGATGTACCCTCACCTCACCTCAATCTTGGACCAAAACCATGAGTCAACATAAATTTCTTTTTTTTTTTTTTTTTTTTTGACAGGCAGAGTGGATAATGAGAGAGAGAGAGAAAGGTCTTCCTTTTGCCATTGGTTCACCCTCCTATGGCCGCCGCAGCCGGCGTGCTGCGGCCAACACACCACGCTGATCCGATGGCAGGAGCCAGGTACTTATCCTGGTCTCCCATGGGGTGCAGGGCCCAAGCACTTGAGCCATCCTCCACTGCACTCCCTGGCCACAGCAGAGAGCTGGCCTGGAAGAGGGACAACCAGGACAGAATCCGGCGCCCCGACCGGGACTAGAACCTGGTGTGCCAGCGCCGCAAGGCGGAAGATTAGCCTAATGAGCCGCGGCGCCGGATAAATTTCTTTTCTTTATAATTTTCATGGTCTGTGATATTTTGTTATTTGCAAAAAGAAAAATGGACAAAGACAATCTCCTTCAGGGTGCCCTGTGATAATCACCCCGTCCCCCGACACACATACAGGGGATACTGGCATAGTTTTACTCTCTTCTCAAGGATCCTTCTTTTAATTCTATGCATAGGAGGCAGCCTGATGCAAAAATTCATTGCCTAAGAATAAATCTTGAGAGATGACTTTGGTCGCTGAGAAAAGGGAATGAAAAGGAGAAACAGGAGAGCTTTGAAGACAAATTTCCCTCTTCAAAGTGATTCTGAAGACCCACACTAGATTGGAAACTACAAGTTCACTTTGTGATCCAAAAAAATATTTCCCTAAAGATGATTTAGAAATTATTTACATGAGAATAAAAACAATCTTGTAAGAAGATAATTGACTGACTCAAAGTATTATCCTACTTATTCTTCAGCATTCAGTTTGAAAGATAAAGGTATCACATAGGTTAGAGCAGATATGGGTTTTTATATTAAACAGCATGGAGTCTTAATTAAGTAGGAACACTAGATGTTACTCATCTGATTCTTCAGATTTTTCATGAATACAATGATGGCTATACCACTATAAAATACGATTATACTCCTCCTTGTTCCACCTCTTAGATCTGTGATTTAGTCAACTTATTTAACTTCAGTGTCTCAATTCTTCATCTGTTCAGTTTGGATTATTATAGAATGCTGTAAAGAGACTAGAGGAAGATTAAACACCTTCTACATGCAAAGCTCTTGGAATAGTACCTGGTAGGGGTGCAGGATGATGATAATGATGAGGATGACAATGATGATCACGATGATGGGGATCAGGGAGGAAGAAGAAGAAGAGGAGGAGGAAGTGAATGTGACTGCCTGGCTTGTGGTAAACATCCATCAATTGTGATCATTAATTTCCATGCTCTATTAGTGACTGTTTAATTTAAAAAGCAACCTTCAGTCATTATAGTTTATTGACTAATAAATCAGTTGCTAAACTCACACTCTTACCCTCTATTTTACAAGTTCATCATTTATTTTCTTCCTTCCTTTATATTTTCCTTGATTTCTAACTTTTTTTAACTAGATAAGGCCTGAATATTTGATATCGGTTTCTGCAACATTCATTAGATCATTAGGACCAAGGCAAATAAATTGGAATAAAAAGATCATCAGGGTTTTTTTTTAAAGATTTATTTTTCTTATTTGAAAGACAGAGTTATAGAGAGACACAGAGTCAGAGAGAGAGAGAGAGAGAGGGAGGCCTTCCATCCCCTGGTTCACTCCCTAAATGGCTGCAACGGCCCGAGCTGGGCTGACCTGAAGCCACGAGCCAGGAGTTTCTTCCCACTCAGGTACAGGGGCCCAAGGAGTTGGGCCATCTTCCACTGCTTTCCCAGGCCACAGCAGAGAGCTGGATCAGAAGTGGAGCAGCCGGGACTCAACCCACCGCACCACAGAGCCAGCCCTGATCATCAGTTTTAATAGAAGATTTGGGTTATAGTTCATATATAAACATTTTTTCTGAGAACTTGGGATGGATTATTTTAAATCTAATTAAATATTATTTCATTATTCATTAATCTAATATAAATATTATGTTCATTATTCCTACTTTCAAAACTCCTCTTACTGTGGGACCATGATAATTCTTCCGTCTTCTTCCCAGCAGTTTCCCATGACCAAATAGTATTTGTTTCTGCTGCCACTGTCCTCCTCCTCTTTACAGCATCCATTTCAAATTTGAAAGAGATTTTGTTCACATCATAGTTGTTTCAGAAGAGACTGTTATACAAACTCATTTCCTAGAACACTGATGCTTTAGCTACGCGGATCTTAGGACTTCTACCCAGCACAGTCCAAACTGTTAAAATAAGAAAGAGGCTCAGAGAACACAGAACAGAGTTAAGGTGGTTCTCTACGGCAGGGGTGATGTCAGCAAACATTTTCTCTAGAAGGCAAGAGGTATAGAAACAATATGACTGACATCTATAAAACAAAATGTAATATTATGTGCTTGGGCCTGCATTTGTCATTACGAAAATAAAGATGGATAAGACTCAGTTTTGCCCTTGAGGAGCTCGTAGTCTAGTGTGTTAAACAGAAATTGCACAAGCAATGAGAAAAAATGAGCGTGTAACTGATGTAATAAAGGTATGTGCTCTCTGCTAGGGCAAAATAAGATTCTTAACTTGTTTTAGATATTAAGAAAAGTTTGCTTCATAAGATATAGTCCTTGAGCCTAAGACTTGAAGGATGAGGGATACTCAGAAAGATAAAACTGTAAGAGAAGTATTCTACACCACAGAAACAAGGACAAACAGATACATGGCAAATCACTGTGGGTTGTACGTGTATCTATGTGTTGCCCTACATGTACTTCCACAGTATTGAGCATCTAGAGAGTGTGACAGATGATTGATCCACAAATGAGACAGGAGTGTCACCAGAAAGAAAAAGGAAATTGCAAGGGTTAAGGAGATGGTTAAAGATACAGCAGTGAATATGTAACTGACAGATTGCGACCCTAGAGGAAATGAACAAAGATGAGATGAAGACACTTCCTTGATGGAATGTCTACATCAGGGCCTTTCTTGAACCCAGAAATAAACTCTAGATGGGGCAGGGAAGGTTGGATCCATTCTCACTTTAATTCTTCTGTAAAGAAGTCGAGGGAGGATTTTTGGTGGTAAGAACCTTTAGAAGAAGGTCAAAGTTTTAGCTTACTCACTAAAGACCCTAGGGAAGAAAAAATTTACTTGGGGTAAATAGACAATAAGCAGTATTACAGAAATAACCAGGAGTTAAGATATCAGCACAGATTTTCCATCTAAGCCTGTAGACAAAGAATTTTGTGCCAGCCACAGGGGAGGCTGGGTGATCTCACCACCATTGCCACGTTCTCCCATCCTGATGACAGAGCACTCAGATCGCAGTACTGATCTGTGTTCCAAACCCTCTTCAAGAAATTCCCAGGCAGGGTTGTGTTTTTCAGGAAAGAGGTGAAGGAAAGGAGCACAGAACAGAGAGGAGACAGGATGCAAACTCACGGCCAAATAAATTGATTCGCAGAGGTGACCAACTGCTAGCGTGCTCACAGGCTAAATACGTGGAATACAGCCCAGTCCTCCAGACAGCTGGATCTGATATATCTTAGGGTTGGCTAAGGGTTTGGAGTGGGGGCGGGGGGTGGGGGGTGAGGGTAGGGATGGTAGGTGGAGGTGAGTTTCTTCACACAGGTTTTTCAAGTTTTTCTCTGGCTTTCAAACCTGGGAAAGAATGCAAGCATGGGGTGGGGAACAATATAAGGTATGAGACTGAACCGGTCTCTTGAAAGAAGGCAGGGGCAAGGGGTAACACGCATTTTATCTACTTTCAGGCAAGACCCTAAAATGGCTGAGGCGTATGTCCTTTTTCCATCACTTAGTAATAATGGTTCAGATGATCAATAACGGTGTGCAGGCAGGCAAGGCTTATGGGGAAAGCTGTGCACGGGGCTCTGAGGAGCTGATTTTTAAGATAGTGTGGGGGCATCATGGAAGTGGAGGGCTTTATGAGGTTGGAGAATCAGCCCAACAAGATAGACTGTTAAAAAGCTATAAAGATGAGATTATGTGGTGAGCAATATTACCGTTTGAGTTTTCTGGAATTAATGGTATGATAGTATTGCTGGAGTTTATGTTACAAGGGTCTAGTAGTAAGTCTAAGTAGATCTAATCATCAAAAGAAAACAGGGAAGAACTCAAATGCTAGCAATTTATTGACTGTGTCTTCTGCCCCATGAGCTGACATAATCCATTCAGGGAAGGGTAACTGTCACTTCTATTTAACAGTGTATTGCCTCCGCTTTCCTCTAGCCCCATATAACTTTGAAACTGCTTGGTTTTCAATCTTGTAAAAGCCCCAATAAGCAAACTTGTAGATCATGAAATTTGACTACTTTTAGTATAAGTAATCAAGGTTATTTACATCTTACACATATTACACAATTCTTGGAATCAGGTTCAGGAGAGGGTGACCCTAGACTTGGTAGAGTTGCTGAAATTTTGAATTGGGAAAGAGTAAAGACCCCAGAGATGCGCATCAGTACTCCCTGTGTTCCTGCTTCCTTTGTTACAAAGGTTTCCATGGAGCTAAAAAGGGACAGAACTCACAAGTGAATGTACTGTAATAGGAGGGATTTTTAAAAATCTTTGAATTAGTTTTTTTTTTTTTTTCTTTGAGTCAGGCTTGGTGCAAAATTTCCTGACTCACGCAGTATATCTGATGCCATGTTAATGGTAGCTTTTACCAGTGTAGCATACTCTAGCCAGAGTAGTTTCTGCTTTTCTTGTTCCCCCCTGTGACTCTTGGGGACGAAGCTACCAGGCTTCTGCGTGCAGTTCTGGCCATACAGATTTCTGCTGTAAAAGATTTCTATGTTATGACAAGGCCCCCGACGAAGGCCTGGGTGCTGATCAGAGAAGTGCTTTGGAGACAAGGTCTCCAGCTTTTCAATTGGGAAGCCATCTCCGCCCTTTGTTTTCATGTAAGTAATCTGTGGTAAATCAAACAGATACTGTAGCTCCTTCCTCTAAAGGACAGTTCCTGTTCCTGGGCCAAACGCTGTGGCAGCGAGACCATTCCTGCCAAAATGATGTTTTCCCCTTCTTTGTTCCTCCAGATAATCCTAACCAGCTTTTGTATGTACACAGAGCTGAGAGCTGTAACAACCCCTGTTTCACAGATGAGATCGCTGAGGCTCAGGAAGGGGAAAAGACCTTCCTCCCCGAGTGTGTGCAGCAGGAAGGCAGAGACCCTGCATCTAAAGTCTCACTGCTCCCCGCTTGCTGCCTTCCTGCAGGGCCGGCCTGGAGACAGGAGCTGTCCCCTGAGTTCTCCTGTATCCGAGTGTGTGCGTGTGTGTCTTTGCCGTGACACTGTCTCCAGGAGGCTTGACTTCTTTTCGTTCCTTCCCCCCCCCCCCTTTTTTTTTCTGTTCTCTTTGCCCCACACTGGCACATCTGTGCGCGAAGAGAAGATACGGTGTCCGGAGCTGCAGGATCTGACCCCAGAGGCCCCGCCAGCTGCGTCTGTCCGGCTTGCTCTTCTGCTTGACCTGCTCTCCGGGGAGGCGCCGGGCTGTTTAGCCGCCGTATCCCCTGGCAATCTGTTCAGGAAAATAGACCAGAAAGGGCTGCCGAGGGCTGCTCCAGCCTCAGAATCCTGCTGCCATCTAGGGATGAGATGGAGCTTCTTCCCGCGAGCAGGCGCCGCGAACGATCTCCCGGGCCTCGGGCGAGGGAAGGCTCAGGGTCCCTTCAGCGTGGTCCCGGGCGCCCGCGGCTGGGTCCCAAGGAGAGCAGCCTCCCTCGCTCAGGGCTTGAGTCTCGGTACCCAGCCAAGGCCCCCGGGGCTAAGAACGGGCCACCGGGCGGCGCGGGGTCGGGGTGGGGGGTGGGCGAGAAGGCACAGCGCAAGAGGACGCACGGACCCACGTAGTGAGAGAGCAGCTGGGGCACGAGGAGCCGAAAGGCTGCTAGAAGAAAAACACAAAAAAAGGAAGGGAAGAGTTTGGAAGAAAGGGGCCATCAGCGAAGCCAGACGGTGTCCTGTGTGTGTTTATGGAACCTTGTCGCTGTCACCTCGCTGGCGTCCACGCGCCGAGCTTGATGAGTTGCAAAGCAACAAGCTACTTTATTTTCGACATAAAATTTTCAGGGGTTCCTCTTGCAAAGGGGGCTGGGCTAGGGTACAGGGGGGCAGATCCTGCCTTTAGTAAAGACGGTGTAGAAAATCCAGGATGAGGAGACTTACGGAGTCAACTTTTCTGTTTATTATGGTATCAGCTTTTCTTTCGCAAACAGAACAATGGGCTTTGAAAGAAGGGAAGGGTTGACTGGAGGGGAAGGAGGAGGGGACAAGGATTGGGGAAGTGGCCCTGCTGTTGACTGGGGGGCCCTGCTGGGAAACTTCAAATCAAATTCTTTCTGAAAGAAAGTGTTATTAAAAGTAACTTTAATCCTTCCAGCCAGACGGCTCATAAAAGCACACAATTAAGTCAAACAAATGACAAGAGCGTTTTCTCTCCTACCTGTTTCCTCCTTCAGAGAGTAATTACTACAGGCGAGTCTTGTCTCATTTTGTGCAAACAGAAGCAGGGTGCGCTGGTCAGTGGGAATCTCTCTTCCTCTCCTTGCCTCTTCCTTCCTCACAGCCCCACCCTAAACCCCCGTTTGTTTCTTGGTACCAACCAGCCTGTCGGCAGATCCAGCCAAGAACAAAGGGGCGAATTTCAATATTTCCTCTTTGTGCAAGGTTAATTGAAAATCAAAAAGTCACTTTTCAAATGTCATATTAAACCCGCCACTGCATCAATTTCCTGTGGGTTCCCATCTCCCTCCATCTCCTTAGGCTGGAGAAAAGTGTTTGGGGGGATGGTGGGGAGGAGTGGAAGGAGGAAGAAAAAGTGAAAGGATTGAAAAACCACAGATACACACAGGCTTTAATTGCAGATATGCTAACACGCAGTGGACAATTGTTTCCCAGAATGTTCTCAAAGACAACCTTTGTGTTCAGTGCTGCCATTTGATAGTCCAGAGACAGAATTGCATCCTAAGCCTAGAAAGAGGAGGCCTCCGTGATTTTATGTTTTGGTAGAAGATCACAGTCTGATCATCATAAATGCTGCCATGTTTTACAATTTTTGTTTAAAATTTTTACTTAATGTATTAGAGGGAATGGGAGAAGGGGATCAATACCATCACTCTTCCAATGACTGCAACAATTGAGGCTTGGCTGGACCATGCTGAGAGCTGGGAATTCAAATTCTCCCACATGGATGGTGAGACGCCACTTACTTTTCAAAAAAATGACTTATTTGTTTATTTGAAAGGCAGAGTTACAGAGAGAGGGAAGGAGACATGGAGAGAGAGTGAAATCCTCCATCTGTTGGTTCACTCTTCAAATGGCTGCAATGGCCAGGGCTGGGCCAGGACAAGGTCAGGTGCCAGGAGCGTTCTGTGGGTCTCCCACGTGGGTTCAGAGCCCCAAGGACTTGGGCCTCCTTTGTTGCTTTTCCAGGTACATTAGCAGGGTGCTGGATTGGAAATGGGGTAGCCAGGACTCAAACTGGCACCCATATGGGTTGTTAGCACTGCAGGTCTTGGCTTTAACCTGCTATGCCACAGTGCCAGCCCCAAGAGTTCAATTATTTGAACCTTCGCTGCTGCATACCAGCCATGGTCCACGTTAACAGGAAACTGGAATCAAGAACCAGAACCAGGAATTAAACCTAGATACTCCAATGTGGGACACAGGCATCTTTTTTTTTTTTTAAGTTATTTATTTCAATATCAGAACTGCACAGAGAAAGAAGGAGAGGCAGAGAGAGAAAGAGGTCTTCCATCCTCTGGTTCACTCCCTAATTGGCTGCAATGGCTGGAACTGTACCAATCCGAAGCCAGGAACCAGGAGCTTCCTCCAGGTTCTCCTATGCGGGTATAGGGGCCCAATGACTTGGGTTATCTTCCATTGCTTTCCCAGGCTATAGCAGAGAGCTGGGTTGGAAGAGGAGCAGCTGGGACTCAAACGGTGCCCATGTGGGATGCTGGCACTGCAGGCTGCAGTTTTACCTGCTACGCCACAGCTCCAGGCATCCTAAGAGGCTACACACCCAGCACTTTAAGGATAGTGTAATAATGTGGTCATATTCATTATCCTTTCAACCCTTTTATTCCCCTCTGAAACAAGGAAGGCTCACATTCTCACAGGCAGAGACGCAGCCTTGTAGGCTTCTTTCGGACTGGCCAGTTTTGTCACATGATATTGTCCACATTTTGGTCTGGAGTTCAGTGATTCAGCTGTGCTACTGTCCTTGTAATATTTTTTCTAGTTTTTCTGAGACTCAGTTTCCTCATATATTATATTATATACATAAGCCATCATGTGTGTCTCCTGAAATTTCTCATCAGTCTGTAAGAAGTGTGACATGAGCAGGACAAACACACGAGTTCTTGACACCATTCTAAAGTTACTTATGTCTTTTCTCAGATGAAATGATTTTTTCTGTACAACTTTTTGGAGCTCAAACCTGCCTATTCTCTTACTAGTATTCCAGAGGTCTGTGGAAAAGTATGGGGCAGGGCTCTGCTCTAAGGCTCCATCATGCGCACTGTCCCCTTCACCCCCTGCTTCCCTGCTTTATCGCTTTGCTCTTTCATTCTAGTGTCTGCCACCCTCTTTTACAAGTACTGGGCTGAGCTGCACCCCTTCTGTGATGTACCAGTGAATCTATTCTCTAAACTTCAGCTTAAGTATGGTGGGTTTGTCTAGTGGGAAAGACTTGACTTGCTACAGATTAAACCTAAGATATCTACTAAAACCATTTTAATTAGCCAGCAGAGTGAAAAGTCAGAATTGTGGAATAAATTCACTCTAAGATAAACCATGTGCATAAAAGCCAGCCCTCTCAACCTTCTTTCTAATACTCTGATAATATTGTAGTGATATCATATGTGTTCATCAAGCCTAAATAAATGGTAGGTGAAAAGGAGGTGGCTGCTGTTTAAACTCATGAGAATGTATAGAGAGATTGACACTCTAGAGCATCAACCATGCAGGTTTTATTGCAATATTCTTGGTGGCCTTTTCTTCACTGACAAAATTAAGAAGGCAAAAGAGGTGTCTTACTCCTTTGGATTTCTACCAACTCATACATGTAGCCTTTTGGACTCCTTAGTTGCATATCTTGCTTAAAAATACTGCATCTGAACTGGCGCCACGGCTCGCTAGACTAATCCTCCGCCTTGCGGCCCCGGCACAGTGGGTTCTAGTCCTGGTCGGGGCGCCGGATTCTGTCCCAGTTGCCCCTCTTCCAGGCCAGCTCTCTGCTGTGGCCAGGGAGTGCAGTGGAGGATGGCCCAAGTGCTTGGGCCCTGCACCCCATGGGAGACCAGGATAAATACCTGGCTCCTGCCATCGGATCAGCGCGGTGCGCTGGCTGCAGCGCGCCGGCCGCGGCGGCCATTGGAGGGTGAACCAAGGGCAAAGGAAGACCTTTCTCTCTGTCTCTCTCTCTCACTATCCACTCTGCCTGTCGAACGACAATAAAAAAAGTACTAATGTCTTCCTGCATCCTGGGCCGGCACTGTGGCACAGTGGGTTAACACCCTGGCCCGAACCACCAGCATCCCATAAGGGAGCCGGTTCTAGTCTCAGCTGTTCCACTTCTGATCCAGCTCTCTGCTATGGCATGGGAAAGCAGTGGAAGAAAATCCAGTCTCCTGGCTTTGGATTGGCACAGCTCCAGCTGTTGCGGCGAATTAGGGAGTGAACCAGAGGATGGAAGACCTCTCTCTCTCTCTCTCTGCCTCTCCTCTCTCCGTGTAACTCTAACTTTCAAATAAATAAATAAATCTTTAAAAAATACTGCATCTGATTTATAAGTTGTCTTAGCATGACAGATACAGTTGGATTCTTTGTGCAGCATTTGTTCCCATGTACACTTCTGACATAGTGCTTGTAGGTAGCTACAACAAAATATACTATTGGAAATTTACATAAAACAGATTTATTTCTCATAATTCTAAAGTCTGAGAAGTCCAACATCAAGGCACCAGCATGTTTGGTTTCTGATGAGGGCTCTGCCTCATTAATGATGCCTTCTCACTGTGTCCTTCCATGGTAGAAGCAACAAACAGACTCCCTCAGCCGATTTCATAAACACCCTAATCCCATTGATGAAGGTTCTGCCATTAGGATCTCACCAATTCCAAAAGGGCTCTCCTGTTAATACTATTGCATTTAGGATTAGATTTCAACACATGAATTTTAGGGGAGGCCATTCAGATTATAGGAACTTCTACTGTATTCGTGTTAATCTGTTGCTAGAATATGTATGCCCTTCTTTCTCTAAATTTTCTGAAAACAAAGACTGTTGTATCATCTTTGCAATAGGAACTTAAGGATGGGTGTTTAATAAGTAATTGTTGGAAGCAGAGTTATGAAAAACAAAATGTATCTCAAACTCTGCCAGCATAATATCTGGATATTTCACAAACCAGTTTAATGATAAAAACCGAATTGATGATTGTGTTAGACCAGCAAGTATGAAGTCAGATGAGTGGATAAAATATTAACTTCAGACAATTGTGTTAGCATTTGCAGATATAGTGCTAAGTTAACAACATGTGAATGTGCATACTAAAATGTTCATTTACCTGGTGAGGCTCTTTACTTAAGACATGGTTATACTGAAAAATTTACTAGCATGATTTACTATTACCTTAGTGCGACTGGGTTTCTTAATCTGATCTAGAACTCCCTGCCTCAATACCACCACTGAAATGAAAGAAAGCGAGAAGCAGGAAGGGAAGAAAGAAAGGAAAAAGTCAGTTATAGTTAACTGAAAAATCTTCTCTGGAATTGGAATGGAATTCTGAAAAACTAGTTGGATGATTCCAAAGGACATCTTTTAAATTCCTACATTTAGAGCACCAAATGCTTAGAATAGTGTATTATAGTTGCTTATTATTATTGGGTTATGTTCCTGCAGTTATTCTCTGAACTGGTTAAATGGCTCATTTAAGAATGTGAATAGAAATAGAAATAAACAATGGTAGTTCTCAGAATTGGAACCTATGTATGCATGGTGGGTTGGGGGTAGGGAAGTGAGAACTTGATTATAGTACAACCGGATCTTTCACTGACACTTTGTAAATCCTCCATATAATGTTTGGCAAAGAACAAAGCTCCTCAGGTACTTTTTTTTTTTTTTTTTGGAGGGGGTCAGGATGAGTAGAGCAATGAATGTTATAATCTTGATCTCACACATGGATTATGGTAAGAATGCAATGTGTCAACCTCTACAAAATTGCTGTGAATTTTATATGCTTATCAGAATAAGATAATGATGTCTACTGCTTATTGTATTTTAGCAACCCATCTGAATACATTGAGTATTTATTGTACAGAGATTTTTTTTTTATTTTTACTATTCTGAGGCCAAGTCTGCTGTTGCCCTGAATTTCCTCAACAATAAAAGATGCTATTGCAAAATTTTCAGTATTACAGGTTATTTTTATTGTGTTTTGATGGCACACACATAGGCTACTATCTCAGAAAACCACTCCCATTGGAAAGATGGATATCAATGCTCCCAGGTCTGAAAGGAACAGGAGCTGTGGGGAAAGTTTTAACAGCTAGGATTTGCCACACCAGCCTGTTTCTCTTCTCTTGTACATTGCATGCTTTTTATTTCCTTCCTGCTTGCTCTCGTTTTGAAAATCTCCATCTCCCCCTTACTGTTAGTATTTTGTGAGATATTCAAAATGTGTATTTAATCCATCCAAGTTTGTAGTCTCCAGTGTCAAAGCTTCTGCTTAATGCTGAGTTAATGCTCGGTTGTGCCAAAGCTTCAAGCTTTCAACGCAGTCCTGAAACCAGCTGCGACACATCACTAACGCCGAGGCTTCAGCTCCAGAGACTGCTGCCTGCATGGAGTAAATGCATCATTTTTTAAAGCGTTGTCAGTGCAATCTAAGAGCTGTGTAGAGTGTAATTGGGGATCTTTGAAAAAAATTATGTTTGAAACCATTTTACAAGAATCATCTGGGGAGGCTGGCTTGAAACCTCTGCTTCTTAATATCTCACTGCCCCAGAAGCAGGTCTATCACTTTGGGTAGTTTTTACCTTTGAACAGGTTGCTTCTTTCCTCCCTCCAGCCATCTTTCCTTTTCGGTGAGCTGAGGTAAATAAATTTGAGGAGGCCGACATTTTGCCCTGTCTGTAGTTCTAAGACTATGGACCTGGGAAGGAAGAACCTGATGTCTTGCAGCCTAGGCTATTGCATTTCCAAGTGTGGATGAGAAACCAGCAGCATCAGAAACTCCTGGGACCTTTTTTGAAATGCAAATTATCTACCACATCAGAATCTCCTTGGGAGCACCTTGGAACAAGTCCTCATGGTGATTCTGGTTGTCCCACAGTTAGAGAACCATAGCTCTAGGCTATCCAGATTCAGACATTTCTGTAGCTGTATATTTGGAGATAGTCATGCAGTCTTACTCAGAATATGTTAAGCATGGAGGGAAGATCCACTATATTAACAGCAAATTCTTCCATGAATACATTTATTACAAAATTATCTAAACATTTATTGAGAAGGTATCTGCTTCTATAGAACTTATTGTTTTATTTTTCTTATCTTCAGGTTTGACATATAGTAGATAATCAATATACTTGTACAAAAAGGAGAAAAGAATGGTTCTTCATTTTGCCTTTGAGACAAACTTATCTAATCCAATAAATCCATCTAATCCTTATACCAGGAGGCAGCCTGTCACATATTGAAAGCTGCTAAGATCCCCAAGTCCTCTCTTCTTTAGGTTAATAATAGCCAGAGCTCGCACATTGCCCTAAAAGGACACTATACCTAGACTCACAGATTTCCTGCTGTCTTCTGAATTCAGGATTGTTCTGTGTTTGCAACAATGAAAACTTGAGGACTTTTACAAGTCATCTAGAGGTAAGCCAGATTTCCTTGTTTTGTGTAAGTACACATTAATTGTTATCCAAAAAAGAATTTTAAACTTAAATCTGTTAAAATTTAAATTACTGATTCGGACCTGTTGAACTTCTGCTTCTTTGTGATTTTGTTGATGTTGATAAAATTTATATTGTATTTTAGAGATTTAAAACAACTGGTGAAAAATAATAAATACTTGTTAAAGAAAAATACAAAAATAAGAAGGCATACAAGAGAAAAATAACCATAACCTGGAAAAATAGTCTGTATTATTTCTCCCTTTTTCTTATCACTATACAAATAGGTATATACAATTATATCTCTGTTTTGATTCTATATACATTATATATGTATAATAAGTGCATACTTGCATTCTGTGGCTATATGAATATATATTACTTGAAGCAAATGATTCAAACGCACACATATATATACATATGGTATCCCAGCTTGCATCTTTGTAAGGAATTGACATATCTGATAACACTTTGCGTGAGATGTTTGCAGCCTCTTGGAAAGACAAAGGATTCATCACCTTGTTGTAAACTAGTTAGAAAACCTTGAGATGGCCTGTCTTTTGAGTTTCTTCCCTATCTGGCCTTCATTTGACTCATATTTTTGAGCTGGAGGGAGTAGAAATTTCGTAATTAGGAATAGTAAGTGCTAATTTACTTATAATTCTGCATCCAACTAGAATCTGAGCAACTCCACTGACAACACAAGAGGATGGGTTACCTTTCTCCACTTTGCAAGACAATAATATCAATATCAGCCTGCAGAGAGCCACTAAGGGCTGCAGTGTCTCAGGAAGAGGCAGGAGAGCACTAGACTCAGTCAGGAGTTGGGGCCCGAGACTGGGTACAGAGAAAAGAAGCAGGGCGAGGCGAACTTCTACCTGAAGTGATGGCTTCTAAAAGCTGTTCTGCTGGTAGACCAGGCAAGAGAGATTACAGACTCAGTATGTGCAAAGTGAGTATTGTTTGCCTTGGCAAACAATAGAGGACACCTTGAAGGTTGACTTTGAACTGAGCATCCACCCAATACTCTCAAGCAATCTCCAGAAACATTAAGCAGTGAGATTTGTTAGAAGTGTTAGATTTCATGAGCAGATAGTTCAAGAATTATTTTACTTCATATTTTTAAATTGTTTTATTTATATAAAGTGAACAAATTTCATGTATTTCATATATATAGATTTAGGATCATAGTGTTATTGCTCACCCTAGCTTCCCTCCTGCACATTTTCCCACTTCCCCTCTTCCTTCTTTTCTTATTCTTTCTTTCAATTTTTGTAATGAGATATTTTCATTTTATTTTATACCCATAAGTTTAACCCTCCAGTAAGTAATGAATCCAACAAATAGTCTGAAGAAAAACAAATGTTCCTTAACAGTAGAGACAAGGGCTGTAAACAATAATCAATGAGAGTATATACTAAATAATTTAAAGCACATTTTAAAAATTCATTCCTTACCATAAAGATGTTTTTATGCTCATAGGTGTTCACAAAATATCAAAATTCTAAGTGGCTACAGAGAATCAAGTATAGAGGTGAGCATTTGGCACAGCGGTTAAGATGTTAGTTGGAATACTCACATCCTCTATCAGAGTGCCTGGTTCGAACCCTGAATCCTCACCTTCCAATTTAGCTTCCTGATAATGTGCATCCTAGGAGACACCAGATGATAACTCAAGTACTTGCATCCCTACCATCTACATGGAAGATCCATACTAAGTCCTGGGCTCTTAGCTTTGGCCTGACCTAGCCCCAGCTGTGGCAGACATTTGGGAAGTGAATCAGTGGATGAAAGATCTCTCTCTCTCTCTCCAAGTCTCTGCCCCTTCCTTCCTTCCTTCCTTCCTTCCTTTCTTCATTTATTCATTTGAGAGGCAGAGTTACAGAAAGAGAAACACACACACACACACACACACATACACAGAGTTCTTTCATCCACTAGTTCACTCCCTAAATGGCTACAATGGCTTGAGCTGAGTCAGTCTAAAGCCAGGAGCCAAGAGCTTCTTCTGGGACCCAAGCTTAAGATGGCCCCTGCTTTCTTAGGACATAGCAAAGAGCTGGATCAGAAGTGGTGCATCCAGGACTTGAACCAGCACCCATATGAGATGCTGGTACCACAGGCAGAGGCTTAGCCCACTATGCCACAGTTCCAGGTGATGTTGGCTTCAAGAAGGAGTTTGAGGATGTTGGAGGAAACACACCCTAATCCACTGTTTTTGAGAATGTAAACTATTTTCCAACCATTGTGGAAAATAGTATGGAGATATCTCAGAAATCTGAAAATAGATCTACCATATGATCCAACAATTCCACTCTTGGGAATTTACCCAAACAAAATGAAATCAGCATATGGTGAAGAGTTATCTTTACCCACTTGTTCATTGCATCTTTTTTTTTTTTTTTTTTTTTTTTTTTTTAAGATTTAGTTATTTGTTTGTAAGGCTGAGTTACACAGAAAGAGGAGAGGTAGAGAGAGAGGTCTTCCATCTGCTGGTTCACTCCCCAATGGGCCTCAATGGCAGGAGCTGCGCCAATTGAAACCAGGAGCCAATCGGACTTGCCCCAAACAGTAGAGTTAGAAACGTGCCAGGGGATGCCAATTCAATCCTATCAAGGTGGCTTGTACCAATGCCATCTCACTAGTCAAAGTAATCAGTTTCAGTTCACAATTGATAGAGCTGGTAGAATTCAGCAGTGAAACCATCTGGTTCTGGGCTTTCTTTGCTGGGAGAGTAATTATTCAACTTCTGTCTTGGTTATTGGTCTGTTTAGGTTTTCTGTGTCTTTATGACTCAATTTTGGTAAATTGTATGTTTCCATTTGTATGTTATACATTGTCGCTCCCCCTCTTCGTGGAGGAACGACACAGGACCCTGCGCTGTTCTTTTGTCTGCTCGGCCCCTCCCGGGTTTGCTGCTGGTTCTTCCTGGGTTGGCTACCGTCCCTTCCACCTCCGTGGAAGGGCGGTTCCCCCTGCCACTTTCCCCACTTCCGCGGGGGAGCGGCACACCGCCGGCCGGCTCTCTAGGGGGCTGCACAGGTGTTCCTCAGGTGTTCCCCTTAGATGTTCCTGGTGTATGTTGTCTCTCTCCTCCTTTATAGTCCTCTTCCACCAATCCCAACTCTGCTACCCACACGCCGAGTATGCTGCTCTCCTCCAATCAGGAGCAGCTCCTGCAGCTTATTGGTTGAACTGGAGGCAGCTGTGTAGAAGCTGTTTACTCCTCTCCCAGCGCCATATTGTGGGAGAGCAGATGCACAGAATAAGTCCTAATTTGAGTAACTTAGTCTAGTCTGAGTTGCTCCCCACAATACATTTCGTCTTGGTTTCCTAATTTCATGACATAAAGCTCTTTGTAATAAGTCCTGATGGTTTTATTTTTATTTCTGTTCTATCTGTTGTTACATTTCCTTTTGCATCTCTGATTATATTGTTTTGGGTGTTCTCCCTCTGTTTTTGGTTAGGTGGGCCAGAGGTATATCAATTTTACTTATCTTTTCCAAAAACAGCTCTTCATTTCACTGATCTTTTGCATTTTTTTGTTTTCAATTTTGTTTATTTCTTCTCTAATTTTAAATGTTTATTTCCTCTTACTAATTTTGATTTTTTTGTTTTTGTTTTTCCAGGTCCTTCAGATCCTTGATTACTCATTTATTTGGTGCCTTTTCAATTTCTTGATGTAGGCACCAATTGTAAACATTCCTCTTAACACCATTTTTGCTGTATCCTTAAGTTTTGATATGTTGTATTGCTGCCTTCATTAGTTTCAAGAAAATTTTTTATGCCAACGCCGCGGCTTAATAGGCTAATCCTCCACCTAGTGGCGCCGGCACACCGGGTTCTAGTCCCGGTCGGGGCGCAGGATTCTGTCCCGATTGCCCCTCTTCCAGGAGAGCTCTCTGCTGTGGCCCGGGAGTGCAGTGGAGGATGGCCCAAGTCCTTGGGCCCTGCACCCCATGGGAGACCAGGATAAGTACCTGGCTCCTGCCATCGGATCAGCGCGGTGCGCCCGCCGCAGCGCACCAGCCATGGTGGCCATTGGAGGGTGAACCAATGACAAAGGAAGACCTTTCTCTCTGTCTCTCTCTCTCACTATCCACTCTGCCTGTCAAAAACAAACAAACAAACAAAAACTTTTTTAATTTCTCTTTTGATTTCTTCTATGACTCAGGAGCATGTTCAGTCTCCATGTGTTTGCATTTTTTCTTTTTTTTTGTTCCTTTTTGGAGGGTTGTCATGATGGCTTCCTTATTCTTGTTTCTTGGATTTCTGTATTTATTTTAGGCATTTGTAGAGATACTTGTTGGTTTTATCCTCTGATGGCATTTATCTTTGAAGTATGCCACTGCAGCTTATTGTTTTCCATGAATATCCAGAAGTGTGTGCTGGATATGGCAAAGGAACTCTTGCCAGTGCTGCAAGGGAGGGTGAGTATTCAGGGTGACACCCAATTTGGGCATGGTATATCTTTTCTTTGTAGCAGAAGGAGGGAATGATCACCTCTGTTGATGTCATCACATTCTCACATCCTTTCTTCCAATTTAGGGGTGTTAGCTAATAGCGGCTACAATAATCATCCATGCTGCCCTATGAATTGCACAAAGGATCTCTGCAGTCCTCAGCATAAATACAGAGCCCGATCCAATGACCCACCCCAAGTACTCAGGGAGCTCTGAGCATGTGGAGCTACTCATAATGATTGCTCAGAGATCCAGCTATACCCTGTGCAATCTCACGCAGTCACAGAGTTCCTACAGTCTCAACACACAAGGCTCCCACAGTCACTGGGTGCTACACCTAGATGGTTTGAGTCCCAGAGCTTGTGATGTATTTAGAGGCTGGGGGTACCTCCCAGCCAGACTCAAAGTAAGTGGGGAATGTAATTTTTTCCCTCTGGTAAAATCCCTAGATTGTATGTGTGCACAAGAGCTGCTGGCCGTAGCCCCTACTTGCTTTACAATATCTCCTCCTCCCTGCCAGTTGCTGGGTGCATGTACCCAAGCAGCTGCCACTGTTACTGCTGACAAGATGGTGTCTTGTGCTGGTCAGTTGCTGGGTGTGTGCAGAGGAGCAGCTGTAGCGGCTGTTTATGTCCAATATGGCGCCTGCCTTCTCTCAGCCAGTTTCAGGGCACCATTGTTGGGGAGATGGAGAGAGTACAACATGCCCCTTTGTCTCTGCTGTGTTAGTGGATACCCTATCCCCCTTATAGCTCCAGGCTGGACTCACACCAAGCTCTCCCTCCAGCTATATATCACCAGTGACACAGGTTGCTTCAGTCTCATCTCATCTTACTCTCCAAAGCTGGTGCTTTCTCCAGCTTTCAGCCACTGGTGTTGTGTGTTGTATCCACCTTTATGCTGCACCTTCACACCTTCCACACATAACCACAGCATCCCTCTCCCTCCCTTAGAATTTATACTGCAGTTTTCCTCTAAATCTCCCCTGAGAAAGTGCTCCTTCTCCTTTTTATGTCTACTATTCTCCCCCAGCCTAGAGCAGTATGCCTTGTCCTTATTCCACCATGTTGGAATCTAGTCTCTTTCTTTCAAATAAAAAAGGACATGTATTAAAATGAATTTTCTGTTCTGTGGCTGTCATGGACATAATATCTTCCCCACCCCCACTGACCTGCAATTCATATATTGAAGAAATTTTGAATTCCTAATCCTAAATATCTCAGAGTATGACTATATTTGGAGAGAGGATCTTTAAGAAGACAAGTCAAAAAAAAAAAAAAAAAAGTCATTCAGGTAGACCTTAATTCAACTTGGCTGAGATACTTACGAGAAAAGGAGGTTAGGACACAGAGACATCCAGGGGAAAGATCATGTTAAGATATCCAGGGGCAAGCATACAGGCCTAGAAGAAATTAATCCTGTAAGTACCTAGAGTTTGACCTTCTAAGCTGAAGAATTTTGACAAAGTAAACATTTATTATTAAGTCATCCTATATGTGGTAGTTGTCTATGGCAGCCCTAGCGAATTAATATAATGACTATCAAATTTGTTCCCAATATTTGTTTTAATTACTGACATATATATATATCCTGATACACAAACAACCATTTACATAATTGATTTTCTTTAGAATCCAATCTAGATGTATAATAATTGGGTCCAAAAGTTATTCATGGTTTGTAATGTCAGTTCTGCCATAGAATGCACTGATTTTTTTTTTTTTATTTTCTTATCTGACAAGTTAATACATTTTGTCTTTATCTCCATGTTGGACAGCATAAGACAAATTATAGTGTCCAAAGGCCACAATTTTTGAGGTCTTTTCCAATTAACAGTCATATACCTATGCATTGGACTGTGGTCATTGAATAGGCAACTGGTTCATTGTCATTTAGGTCACATTTCATATATCTTAATAATGTGTAGGAAAAGCACAGAAGATGTTCCTATAATCAAGATTCCTCTAAGGGAAAAAGAACTAAATAATTGCTTCAAGACTGCATTTTTCATATCTGCATGTCATCTGGAAAGGGAAATACTGTATGTAAAGGATCCTTCAAGTTGTCAGAATCTTAGCATACTTGTGTTATTATTTGTTTGCTTGCTTTTTCCAAGCAGTTAATCAAGTCACTGTCTATCAACAAAAACCCAAAATGTTTCTCTATTTTGTCTCAGGATAATTATACTGCCAATTTTTTTGTTGACTCCATCTTTGTACCCCTCCAGAAACAACAGTTCTAAAGCCAGAGGAGGTGGATGTACCCCCACAGAATGCCTTTAGAAGTGACTTCTCTCCAAAAGAGTATTGTCTGGGGGTATGCTGAGAACATCAGGACTCTACATAATGGAAAAAGGTAACTAACAATTAATATTTTGGATTACCTTGGGAAATTGACACTCTCGTTCAGGAATATACATGAGAATATTTCAGAAACTCCCAGGAGAATAAAAATAGGATATTTTCATGAGATTGGAGTACTGATGAGCAAACAATGAATCCAGTTGAAACCCTGGATAAGAAGAACCTGGGAAAGTAGGGTTTGCATATATGAATTTTATCATAAGAACAACTCTGGAAAATTCAAGAGGGAAATTAGAAGGGTACACTTTTGAAATCTCTGCAGAATTAAAAAATCCTGACATTTCTATACTCGTTGCAGGGACTCTAAAAATGACCTAAGTTTGGAACGGCTTGCCGAAATCATCCAAAATCCGAGATTAAATGCGATAGCCTAGTCTCTGTGGTTAGGTAATTATAATGGATGAATAAAAATAAACTTTCTTGACCTTGCAAGTTTGCATATTAAGATATTTGAATGCTAACTAGTTAAGACCCTTTAGTTACAGTGGTTACCTATTTCTTCTATATTGATGTTATCTCCTTATCATAATCCTTTTGAGAGTGGCACTTGAGAGACTGCAAACAATTTTGACTAAGGGGTAGTTGAATATATAGCAGAATACAGTTTCTCATTTGCATTTCCTTTTTAAGTGATTGAATTATTTCTAGCCATCTGTAGTAGGTATGACACCCTGGAATATTTCTAAGGGCCATTATACTGACTCATAGGGACTTGTGCCATGAAGCTATAGAATCAGAGAATGACTATTATATGAAGGTGACATGTAGAACCTGGAACCCAAAGAATGATGTGAGTAGGGGTAAAAAGAAAAATGGGGTGACTTGTCTGGAGCAGCAACTAATCTACAGAAAACTGTTCCAAACCTTGCTGCTGAAGTATGAAGGAAAATGTGATAAAGCTTTCAACCATGGTAGCAGTCTGAAAATTTTACCCAAATTCACCAAAAATCATTTTAGAAAATGGAAAGATATTTTAAAAAAATTATCAACATACGGTCATTTAGCCTAACAGTAAAGACAATGGTAAGGACATCTGCATCCCATATTGGAATGTCTGGATTTGATGCTCAGTTCCAGCTTCTGGCTCCAGCTTCCTGATAGTGCAGACCCCGGGAAGCAGTAGTGATGGCTATGGTAACTGGACTCCTGCTACCCTCATGGGAGACCTGGATTGAGTTACTGTCTACTGGTTTCAGCCCAGCCAAGATTTAGATGTCTTGGATGTTTATGGAAATGAACCAGTAGATGGGCACTCTCTCTCTCCCCTCCTCACTCACTCTTTCCTTCTCCATCTGATTCTCAAACAAATATATATATATTTTAAATATCAACTTTAAATCGTGGTTCAATCATACTAGGAAAAAGAGTTGAATTTTCTATTACCTTATAGAGAATATTATTATATATTCTGTGTTATATATAGTGTATAGTTACAAACCTAGAAAAACATTATGAAGAAATAAAGTATAAGTACATTCACACAATGGAATACTATTTAACAGTAAATATGAATGAACTACAGATACACGCAAGAGCCTCTCTGAATCCTGCAGGCATTATTTAGAATAGAAAAACTCAGTCTGAAAGATTTATAATAGATTGTTATGACATATTTGTGTGATATACTTTAAAAAGTAAATTATATGGAAAGCGAACAAATTAGTGTTCACAAGTGGTTAGGGTTGGGGGACTTAACAACAAAGAAGCAGCATGAGAGAATTTTTGGAGTGTAATTAACCATTCTGTACCTTAATTATGTTTGTAATTACATGAATCTATATCTATTAAAATTCATAAGCTTTACAACAAAGCGAAGCTCATTTTACAGTATAATTCAATTTTAAAAATTGTGAATTAAAAATATGTAAAGGTTTCAGAAAAATTATATTCTTTACATCTGTGTATAGTAATATTTGTGGATCTTTTCAGCTGCTAAAATCAAAATTTATTTTGATCTCCTTTTAATGCTAACATAATAATTTATACTTGATTTTTTTGTTCATAATATTGCATTATTTTCCTTTAAGAGACTTGGCCAGGTCTCAATGCTCCCCAAACCCAGAGTCTACCCCCTGAAATACCTAAGATGCTTTGAGGGCACCAAACAGCCACTACTGACAGGAGGAACCATCCCTTGTTATGCTTTAGAAGGAGCCTCTTAAGGGCATCCTCTAAAATGGATAATCTGGAGGAAATTCAGTGCTTGGGTAAAAAATATAAGCGGTAGATACTTCTGGAGAAGAATAGGTTTTCATTTGCTTTATAGGTTTGCTGAGTATTTTTGCACATTAGCAAAGTGATTTTTACTTTGAGTACAAATGAAATACTGTTTCTTATTTTAGAGATCTAAAGAATATTTACTGAATAGAAATTGTCTGAAATTAAATTGTTTTTAATTTTATTTGTAAAGGAGAGAGAGAGAGAGAATTTTTGCAATCACCAAGGCTGAGTCAGACAAAAACCAAGAGCCAAGAACTTGATTTGGGTCTCCCATGTATGTGGTAGGGACCCAGGCACTTGAACTATCAGCTGCAGTGTCTCAAAGAACACATAAGCAGGCATATGGAATTGCAAACAGATGCAGGACTAACACACAGGCACTCTGATATGGGATGTAGGAATCCCAAGAAACATCTTAATTAATAGGCCAAACATCCTTCCCTGTGTATAATTTAGATCAATTGAATAAAAAGTTTGGTGGTTCCTCCAGGGGATCCTGGATGGTGGCCCTCTTTCCTTACAAGTTGTACTGTTAACAGTAGGGTATCTTGGAGGTCAAAGTCCATGAATTTCATAACATAGTTTGGCTTTGAACACAAGTAGTACATGGTCACTTGGGGTTGAGAGAACTCAAGTCAGAGAAGGGAATCATTATGGTGACCCAGCAAGATTTCCAGGGCTTGTATCTCTCTAGCTAACTGGTCGGATGTGATACCCGGAGACAATCATTTCTTCAGCATGGGTGTGGTCAAGGGAACAAGGGAGGAAGGAAGGGTTACCTTCCAGATTTGCATTCTAATAGACAGCCTTGAGGTTCTAAGCTTCATTACTGAACATTTATATTACCAGCCATTTGATAAGTTTTAGTAAAATCCATTCTCATGCACCTTTTATCAGTGCTACTGGCGTAGGTTTAATACTTAAGATGCCATGGCCTTTGTTCAGCCACTGCTAGGTGAATTCCTCACTGCATTTTCCAGGATGTTGGTGAATAAGAGTGCAGACAACTACCTTGTCAGTCATAATTTTTGCATCCTATTCACTGAAGTTAAATTAAAAAAAAAAGTGTAAGAAAAAGCAGAAACAACAAGGCACTGAGATTAAATAATGATTTTTTCATTTTTATACCCCATACCTCTTATTTTATAGTATCAATATAGGTACTGGATCAAATAACTCCTGTGCAGCTTTCTGTAGGGGAATAAAATTTTTCTGGCAATTTCAGGAATATAATTACCAGGAGCACTACTAGTAATCAACAATTATACAGAATATTGATTGTGCTCCTTCTATTTTTCCATCTTGACCAAAATATGTAACCAATGGTGTATAAATCACACTTATCCTGGCCACTTTGTTTGACATTACCCTCTACAGTCAAGGTTCTCAGTGTAGTCCTGCCAACACAGATTTCTGTTTTGGGACTGAAACCATCAGAATAATGCAGCAGGAAACAACTGAAGGCAAGAAGATACTGGATACAGAGATGTGGCTGCCCTCAGGAACATATAAAGCATCCAGACTTAGCTTTTCTACTATGCTGCCTTTTTCTTCCTTTACTATTTCTTTAAGTAGACTTTGGTAGATATGCCATGCCTACATGGGACTGCAAATAGAAACTGGGGCCCAGTGACACATAAAATTTGGCTGAGGAAGAAGAGTTTGCAGGAAAGTCAGAAATGAGTCGTTCTTCATGAATAATGTAAGAAATATCAGAGCACTAGTGTGTCTGTTCACCTACTACTTCAGAGACATTCAGTGTACAGTTATTGAGGACTTTCAGCAGGAAACTTTATAGGAGACTTCTTTGAGTCATCACCAAATTCTTTCACAAAATTTTCTGAACTGTAACTATTCATCCATTTCTTTGATTTTCATATCAGATCTTGAACTATTCAGTGGCAATGATGTCAGAACTTACATCTATTCAACCAATGACCACATAGGCATTTCACAATCAATGATTACTGAACAGCTAACATTGTCATGCTTGGCCTAGACTATCTTATGTGAATTTTAATAGTTTAGTACAGATTTAAAGTGATATGAACAAAAAATAATAAAGTCGAGATGTTCATTTAGCCACATGAGGCAATTATTTTCACCAAATGCGTTTGAATTTGGGATGAATGAGTTACTAAGAGCATAGTTTTGGAAACAAATAAGGGAAACGCTTTTGAAAATGTGAGGCAACATACGTGAGGAGGCAAGGTTAGGGATGCTCACACAACCTGGACAACAGGCTTGATGGCAAATTAATTAACTAATAGTTATAATCATTGTGTAAAATTGTTTCAGGTATTACATTTGAATTCCATCTGACTTAAGAAAAATCCCCAGGGACTTAAGAGAGTAACTGAATGGAAAAAAAAATCTGTGAGAGCATTTATCTGTTTCTATGGTATCTCTGGTGGGAAAATGGATACAAAGGATCCCCTGTTACACAACACAAGAGGCATGGCTCCATGTGAACCATTTGGAAAATAACCAGAACTGGTAGAGTTAGGGACTACAGTCCATTTGTAAGAGAGATATTTGCGCATTGTCACAGGGGATTCTATGTTAGCATCTTGATATTTTTTGCTTGATGCAGATAATATATGTTCCAATTGGTGTTGTCTAAAAATTCCAGAGTTTAACATCTTCATCCCATGCTTTAAAGACAACCGATGTATCTTCACTTTCTCCTTACTTCCATTCACTCATTTTACCAGGCTTGGTTTCCTTAGCAAACACATTCTTAAACATATTTACCTAATTATTTTATGTGTACTCTAAAACAATCATCAAACTGCCTGCTACAAAGCCACCTGCATAATGTAAATTTCTGAAACATTCTCTTTACCATCTCTTGATCTGATTTTTCTGGTCTGTTCTTTGTTACCATGAACCAGCTAGAACTTTCATAGACTTTGCAAAGATCTTTAACTTGAACACACAGACACACCCAGACACACACACACACACACACAACAGTTCATCAGATATTCCTTCCCTCTCCAGATCATAGTCTGCCTGGAATTACTGATAAGCACCTCAGGTTGCCTTCAGATTTGGAAGTCCTACCAGTCTACCCGGGATGGTAAGTGTCCCTTTATTGTGGCATCCTGAAGGATCCATCTCTGAAAACTGATGCTCACAGAGGGAGTCACTCCAAATAGAATTATCGGAACCGCAGGGCTCCCCCGCTCCCCTCACTGGGCCTCCCCCACTCGCCTCACAGTGCAATCCTAGATGCTGCTCCCATGCCCCTGCTCACACAGTGTTGGCAATCACTCAGATTCCTCAAACTGCTCACAGTTTCTGGGCAGTAATTCTCTTGCTGATGCTGGTTCACTTCTCTTACCCATTGTTTCAAGGTACTGAAATCTTAGCGCTCTTCAAGACTAAATCCCCAAAGTAGTTACTGTTTTTTTTTCTACAGATTTATTTTTAAATGAGTGAATATAAATAATTATTTCACTTAATATGAAAGGTTTAAAAAATCAATATTAGTATTTTTCTTCATATACATAACTTAAAATATATGTATATTTGAGAATGGTGAGCATGCATTTCACTGTTAATTTATTTAAATATAAATCCCTATGCAGCATTCCTTCTTAACGGCCAAGTTGAGATCCATATTACTTTTGTTCTATAAAGCCTCTCTTCCCTCTTTTCTTTTCCTCATTTCCCTTACAATTTATAATGTGTATTGCAAAATTTAGTAGTCTACCTTCTTGCTGGGTATCACTGCTATGCTGTAAGTGATTTCTGTTTCCTTTCTCTGAACAAAGTAGGTAGTACTTTTTCCACCTGCTCTGAGGTTGGATGTCCACTTGACTTTTCTTAGATCAATGAATCCTTAAAAATTAATATCTTGAGAAATTAATATTTTATTAATATTAATAATTAATATTAATTATGATGTTATATTAATAATTAAATATAGGTAATGAAAATAGCATTCTACTTTTTATTTATGTAAGCTATCTCTTAATGTAGTTCCATAATATCTAAACCATGGTAAGTATCTAAATTAAGTCTTTTGTATCATCTTGATTTTCAGCAAATGGGGGGACTTCCTTGACAATTAAATATGGAAGCACAATTTTCTTTTGAGACATTTATATCTCACCAAGTTTGTGTGTGTGTGTGTGTATGTGTACATATGGGTTTGTGTTTATGCATATGTATATATCAGATATATATATATATATTTTTTTTTTTTTTGACAGGCAGAATGGACAGTGAGAGAGAGAGAGAGACAGAGAGAAAGGTCTTCCTTTACCGTTGGTTCACTCTCCAATGGCCGCTGCAGCTGGCGCGCTGAGGCCAGCGCGCTGCGGCCAGTACATTGTGCTGATCCGAAGGCAGGAGCCAGGTGTTTCTCCTGGTCTCCCGTGCAGGTGCAGGTCCCAAGAACTTGGGCCATCCTCCACTGCACTCCCAGGCCACAGCAGAGAGCTGGACTGGAAGAGGGGCAACCAAACAGAATCCGGTGCCCTGACCGGGACTAGAACCCGGGGTGCCGGTGCCGCAGGCAGAAGATTATCATATTGAGCCACGGCGCCAGCCCAGATATATATTTATAAATTAGATGTGTGAAGAAAATGCTAAATCTACTTTTTCTAAACATTTAATATTAAATGAAAGAGAACTATTGCCATTGACTCATTTAGAAATGAATTTATACAGGATGTATTTGAATTATTTTCTTAAATATTTTTAAAAGTCATTGGGCTATTTTTTTTTTTTATTTCAGGTCTCTAGATTGTATATACAAGCATTCCTTTCTTAGGATCAGATAATCATACCATCTTCTTGGGAGCTATCCTCCCAGGTAAGTGGAATGATGTATGTCTGGGAGTTCAGGAACGGTTGCTGAAAATCTTATATCATTGTTTTAGCTCATGGAGGCTTCTTTAAAGGGAGGATTTATGGTATTGAAATGTTTCTTAAGTGAAAAGGCAACCTCTCCTGGAATCTCTGGAACAGCACCAAAATGACTCAAAACTATTCTGAGGCAAAATAGGTATGATGGAAGTCATGTCTCTGCCTACCAACTCTGTGGGGCCACACTCATGAAGACCACAAGTGAAAGGGCCAGACTCCACTATTGAAAGGAAGTAACAGGAGGTGGGGAGATTGCACAATGGGAGGAAGGAGAAATGCTTTAAGGAGACACTGAAACAAAATTTCAGACAGCGTGACTCAGCCAGATGGTTGGGCAAATCCATCAGCAGATGGGCCAGTAGTATGCAAAAGAATCATCGATTTCATGGGGCCTTCGGAGCTCCCAACTTTCTCATGGTGAGGCTTGAGAATAATGAAGGCGTTCTGGCTTCTAATTACCTACAGAGAACAGAATAAATACAAGTTGGGAAATGTCCTAATGCTGCTAGCCTCTGCTGCAGTTTCCATATGAAAATAAGGAAGTGTTATGTGTATTGAGTAAATTCACAACTCAAACATAGAGTGTGATGCATTCTTTTCCTTTCATTTAGAAAAGAACTCTCTAATGAACACTTACTATGAGGAGTCTTCAGAAAGTTCAGAGAGAGTGGTTGTTATGGGATGGACATTTGGCACAAAAGGTAAAACACAACTTGGGACTCTGCATTTGATATCAGATTGTTTTGGTGCAAGTTATGATTCCACTTAAGAGTCCAAGTTCCTGCTAAAGCAGATCCTGGAAGCCGGAAGGTGATGGATCAAATGTTTCAGCTCCTGCCACCTTTGTGTGAGACACAGATTAAGTTTCAAGCTTCTTTGTTCATGTTTTTCCAGCTCTGGCTGTTGCAGGCATTTGGCAAGTGCAGCATCAGTTGGAAGATTCTCTCTTTCCCCCACCCCCTTTCTGTCTGTCTCTCTCTCTCTTCTCCCCATCCTCATTTTCAAATACACAAAAAATTTTCAGAAAAGTAAAATAAGTAGATTTCAATATTTTTTTAATCAAAATAAGCTTACCTTTTAAAAATGTACTTATTTATTTTATTTGAAAAGCAAAAAGACAGACACACATACAGAGATCCCTTATCTTGTGGCTAACTCCCCAGATGCTTGAAACAGCCAGTACTCAATCAGGCTAAAAGCGGTAGCTGGGAGCTCAATCCAGGTATTCCATGGGGATGGCAGAGACACAAGTAATTGAGCCATCACTTGTTGCCTCCCATGGTGCATACTGGCAAGAAGCTAGAATTGAGAGTAGGGCTGTGACTGAAAGCAGGCATTCCAATATGAGAAACGAGTATCACAAGTGTTACCTTAACCACAATGCCAAATTCTTCCCCTAGTTATCAATTATTAGGCTGGCAGTTGGGGAATCAGTGGCAAATAAAACACTCTGTGACATTTGACTTACAGAAGTAATGTTTTGCTGGTGAAAGAGATGTGATACTAGGTATATTGCAATGTTATCAATGACACAATTGAGAAAATATAGGGTCCATTGGAAGAAAAGAAGGGAGGTATTTTGGTGGATGGGAAGGAATGCAAAGGAAATATTTCCAGAAAGTATAAGCACTAAGCTAAATACCGACATCTGAGAAAAAGTAAACTGAATGTGAATAGTGAGAGCAGATAGGGAAAGAGATGGATACCTTTCAAGAGAAGGGCCAGGTAGCAAGGAAAAGAAAAAACATAGCATTTAAAAAGGTCTGATGACGAGAGAGTTTTTTGTAATTCAGAGAGACAAGGAAGTTTATTCTTGTTCATGATGTTCAGTACCCAGTTGTAATACAGTCCTTAAAATGTGTCCTTTTTGGTTATTAAACTGCAAGTTGCCTTTAGCTGAGGCATGTGTACATTACCAGAATCCTTGGATATAAAGAAACCCTCTAAGCAGAATTCTCTTGTGTTCTGATTTTAGCACCTCACATACTGGCCTCTGGTACAAAAGTTTTGGGAGAATGGAGCCAGTACTTTTCATCTACACAGACACACACACACACACACACACACACAGAGTCATTTATTTTTATGCTCTTCATGATTCCATTTTGTTTGCTTTCTAATAACTTCTCTACAACAAAGAATGAATTCAGCAAAATTAGATTTTTTTCACAACTCAAACCATGTTAAAACTATGTAATTATCTATTCTATAAAGTACCTTGATCTGATTAACAGTATTTTAAAATGTGATTTCAAAAAGCAGTATGTATAAAAATGAACTGAGAAACAGAAGTGTGATTTAAGAAGAAAAAGCATTCTAATCTACTCATGAGGTTCTACAATTAGACTTATGTAAGAATGCACAACCTTCATAGAAAATAAAACAAGTTCAGGTAGCCCAGATGGTTGAGGATAAATGAATACTCACATCTTACTTTTTAACAGAGTTCCAATGACCTACTTTTTTGCTTCATTTTGAAAATGTTTTTACCTATTTTAGTACATGTTGAAAGTGTAAGTTTTTTTTTTTTTTAAATTTCTTATTGGCAAGAGGGAGCAGGTGGTGCTTAGCTAGAGAGGTTTATGGATGGAAATCATCTAAGAATCCAAACTGAGAGCCAACATAACCTGGTGTCCACTTCAGTAAGTCTCCATGTTCAGAATTCTGGGATCTGAATTCAGATGGAAGCTGTTCTGGATGTGGGTCAACAGGACTTGGAGTAATACTGATTGTGATCTGGTCTACACGCAGCTCACACACAGCTTTCTTTGTGGAGGTGGAGGTGTTGGGGTCAGCTCATAAGGGAGTCCTGATGTGGAAGACCCAGGGGTACAGTAGATTTTATTTTTTAAGAAGTAACTCATTAAAAATGAAAATGGGAAGAGTCCTTTGATCTGTACTCGGAGTCCTAGAGAAGCAAAACCAAAAATGGAATTAGAATTCCATAGTCTGAAGGTTTGTGACCAAACTCATAATCCAAAGCTATACTTTTTCCCTTGATTCAGCTCAGCACTTTTAAGATTGGAAATCAGTTTCCTTTATGTCATGACAGGTTTTACATTAAGCTACTCGAGTCTCTAAAATTACAACATTAAATCAGTTACATAAAAACAAAACTAATTCATTGGCATTAACTCTCTTCATAACTGATGAAAAGAGGAAAGAGCCAAAGCTTGAATAACCCTCAGATTTACACCTAATTTGAAGAATGTTGAACTGCCTTTTTCCTTCTCTGTTTTTCTATTTTAATTTAGAAATTAAAGTTGGCTGTGTAATATCTCCACGTACATAAACTCCAGAAACTGCTCATAAAAGAAAAGGAGTTTTTCATCATTTGGAAAGGTATTTGCTTGATGGGTTTGTATTCATCAATAAACTATACTTTGCTTCAAAATATGCAGACAGGTAGAGCTGCTTCTAGCATCTCAGCAGGCTATTGCAGAAGATTCCATTGCAGCTGACAAGAAAGTAGGGGAGAAAATATACACAACAGTACCCTCATAAACTACACTGCCTTGAAAAGGGTTGTGAACCCTCAGCGCATCTTCTCTCAGTTGACAATTACAAAATGGGGCTAAAAACAATGCTCATTTTTGCGGCATCTTATTTTATGACTAAAAAAGACAATGTTCACAAAACATTTTTCAAGCCAGGTTGACGTGTGATGAGTGATTGCAAAACATGTTTTGCTGCTATTATTTATATTATTGCTGTTATTACACAGAAACATCTCTCAGGAAAATTGATTACTTTTTGTTTTATAATAATTAGCAAAGAGTAACATAGCAGCTAGTCCTAAGACAATAGAGATCTGATAGAAGGAAAGTGTGAAAGAGATGAATAAATTCTATGTTGAAAAGGGTAAGCTGAATACATGCGTGAGAAAATCCAAAGCAAGCCATGGAAACGGAGCAAAAAGATGTTGTCTTCAATTTTTGAGGATCAACATGACCTGAGCTATTTTGTCCTCCCTACCACACAAGTTGCAGTCAGATTTACAGAGTAAGTTATATCATCTAATCTGATATTCTAACTGGTAGCCTAATCTTTATTTTTTCATTTTAATAATTTTTAACATTTTGCTTATTTGAGAGAGAGAGAGAATGATGGAGAGAGCTCCCATCATCTATTGGCCCACTTTCCAAATGCCTGCAAAGGAGGGGACTGTGCCAGGACAAAGCTTGAATTCAAGAATGCAATCTCTATCTCTCACATGGTTGGCAGGAACTCAATTATTTAAGCTGTAACTGCTGTCTTCCCATTGTCTGCAGCAGCAGGAAGTCAAGTTCTGAAGATAAGCATCAAATCCAAGCAGTTCTATTATAGCATGTGAGCACCTTTACCAATAGGTCAAATGCCCCAAGTAACCTCATCATAAAAAATAAAAACCATAAGAACATAGACAAATTATGCCAAATATCCATAGTGATGAAACGGTATTTGTGGAGTGAGTATTGGGCTTAGAAGTTAAGTCACCAGTCAGGATACTCGCCTCCCGCATCGGAGTATCTGGGTTTTGGTACCAAGCTCCTGTTCCTCACTCCAATTTCTTGCTAACTCATGCTCTGGAAGGCAACAGCACTGGCTCAAGTGACTGGGCTCTGACTGACTGTAGGGGAGACCTGAAATGACTTCCCTGACCATAGTGGCTTTAGCCATGGCCCAGGCACATCTGTGGTAGACATTTGGAAAGTGAAAAAGATCATAGAGTTCCTTCTTTCTGCCTGTCTGTCTGTCTGCCTCCCAAATAAATCACTAATTTACAAAAAAATGGTATTTGCAATACAACCGAAAGTGAGTTATTCAAGAGTACATTTTCTGTTAAGGGGCAACAGCATTAGGATTTTCAGCCAGGATCCTTGGGATGCTCAACTACAGAAGTGGCAACACCGAAATGAGGCCATCTCTTCCCGAGACAATTCTGGGTTTCATTTTCTGATTTTTGTGGAGGAAACTGTATACCTCAAAGCCATCCGTGAACAGGGTTTACATTTGTGTTCATAAAAAAAAAAAAAAAAAACCTGAGCAAACCTTTCTCTGTCATTAAGCCTACTGACCTTTATTGAAATAACAAAACAGTTATTCAAAGGATATGAGGATGAATTCAAGGCAACTTTCTATTTGCTACTATTCAAGGAAGGAATCGTTTGGTGGTTCTTTCTGAGGCTGCTGTGAGAAAATGCTTGCTGAGTATTTAGTCCCTTTCAGGAGGGTGTGGAATTGTGATTTTAGAAAAAAAATGTCTGGATATCAAAAAGTTTTATATGTTAACAATGAAAAGCTGCATTAGCAGACTCGAAATTGTCTTGAGGAGGGGCCATGCTGTGGCGCAGTGGGTTAACGCCCTGGCCTGAAGCGCCGGCATCCCATATGGGTGCTGGTTCTAGTCCCAGCTTCTCCTCTTCAGATCCAGCTCTCTGCTATGGCCTAGGATAGTAGGAGGATAGCTTAGGCCCCTGCATCCACGTGGGAGACCAGGAAGAAGTTCCTGGCTCCCGGCGTCGGATCAGTGCAGCTCTGGCCATTGCAGCCATCTGGGGAGTGAACCAGTGGATGGAAGACCTCTCCCTCTGTCTCTACCTCTTTCTGTAACTCTGTCTTTCAAATAAATAACATAAATCTTTAAGAACAAAAAGAAATTGTCTTGAGGCAACAGCATTTCAAAACTTAATAGGGAAAAATTTAGAATCTTGTTTTCTAGGCCTGAGTGGCTTCAAAGTAGACCAGTGGACAGAAGTAGACCAGCTAAGGGAATCCATGTATGTCATTGTTGGTGGTAGTAATGGTATCTTATTTTGGTTTTCTTTGGTTTCCCACTATAATTGTGCACAGATTATACAAGGTTGTGGGGAAAAGGGCTTGGAAAATCCTAGGTATAGAAATAGGCATGTGCCATTATTGGTTATTCCTAAACATTCTTACCCTGAACTAAAAATCGTATTCTGTAATAAGTTATGCATATCTTTTCAGTAATTGTGAGATACATTGTTCTGCAGACCTATACAAAACCAAAACACACATATGCATGTGCGTTCTGGTGTGATGCAAATAAGTCAACCATTAACATTTTTCTGATTTGTCTCTGTGTGTGTGTGTGTGTGTTTGTGTGTATGTGTGTATGAGGGAGGGACTTTCTTGAGTGCAAGGTAACTTTCTACTTTTAAGCAACAGAGCAAATACAGGTACTTATTGTTCAGACTTTCACATGATGGTGATGCCGGCACGTGCAAATTCAGTCTTCATTTATAAAACTGTCAGAACTTCTAAAATATACTATCCCTTTGTTGTATAGAGCATACTCAAAAGTTATCTGAGCTGTGTCATTCTAATCATTATAATACATATTTGGCAGACAATCTTCGTGAATCGTGAGATTATTTTATTTTTATTTTTTAAAAAGATTTATTTATTTATTTGAAAGGCAGAGATACAGAGGCAGTGGCACAGAGAGAGAGAGAGAGAGAGAGAGAGAAGTCTTCCATCTGCTGTTTCACTCCCCATATGGCCGCCACGGCCAGAGCTGGGCCAATCCAAAGCCAATTCCAGGTCTCCCACATAGGTGCAGGGATCCAAGGAGTTAGACCATCTTCTGCCGCTTTCCTAGGCCATAGCTGAGAGCTGGATTAGAAGTGGAGCAGCTGGGACTTGAACTGGCGCCCATATGGGATGCCTGCTCTGCAGGAGGCAACTTTGCTCATTATGCTATGGCGGGGGCCTGAGATTCTTCAAAAAAAAAAATTGTCGGCCGGCACCATGGCTCACTTGGCTGATCTTCCGCCTGCAGCATCGGCACTCCGGGTTCTAGTCCTATTTGAGGCGCCGGAATCTGTCCCTCTTGCTCCTCTTCCAGTCCAGCTCTCTGCTGTGGCCAGGGAGGGCAGTGGAGGATGGCCCAAGTACTTGGACTCTGCATCTGCATGGGAGACCGGGAGGAAGCACCTGGCTCCTGGATTCGGATGGGTGCTGCACGCCGGCCGTAGTGGCCATTAGGGAGGGTGAACCAATGGAAGGAAGACCTTTCTCTCTGACTCTCTCTCACTGTCTATAACTCTCTCTCTCTCTCACTGTCTAACTCTGCCTGGCAAAAAATAAAAAATAAAATAAAAAAAATTTTCTATTTGAGAGTCAGAGTTACAGAAAGAGAGAGAGGGTGAGAGAGTTACTCCACCTGCTGATTCACTCCCTAAATGGCTGCAACAGCTGGCACTGGGCCAGGCTGAAGCCAGGAGCCAGGGTGCAGGGCATAAGCTTTTGGGTCTGCTTTCCTAGACATGTTATCAGGGAGCTGGATCAGAAATGGAGAAGCCAGGATATGAACCAGTGCCTATAAGGGATGCTGCCATCGCAGGTGGTGGCTTAACTCACTATACCACAATGCAAGCCCCGATCATGAGATTCTTAGAGAATAAGTCCAGGACTAAAATACTGAAATCCAAAAAAGATTTATATGAAACTATTTTGTTGCAAAGTAGAGGACCTCCATTCAATCTAAATTATAGAGAAAGGGACATTTCATGATGATATTTTGGAGTCACATAGAACTCAAATACAAAAGTGACATTATGAGCAACTATAAAGATGGACAAAAATTCCCAATAGAATCCCTCTCAATCTCTTCCCTGTGTAAAGATGCATTTTTTTTTTTCTGCAGACAGACCACTTGTATTTCTCCAACCTAAAGGATAAAAGGAAATCTACCAACTCCCAAAGTATAGTCTCTGTCTTTATTTATAGATTTCTGGAAATTTTCTTAGCCAAAATCGAAGTAAATTATTTTGAAAGGAATGGAAGGTGTTGGGCCATCATGGAGAGCAAATCATCTAATAATCAGTTTACTGTTTCCAAAAAGCTGTTTTGGGTAAGAACTTGCCAGCTTTCCGAGAGGTTGCCTGCCTGGATAGTACAAAGGGATAATTGTCAGAAGGCAAGTATATCGATGTTTACCACAAAATCTCCAGGAGAAACTTTTCCTTATTTCTTTGTCTAAAAACAATTCTTTATTTTGATACCACATAGTTTTTATTTCTACCACCCAGATACACTGGTGACTCGTTTCCTTATATTATTGTTATTACACAGATAGAGAACTTGTTTCCATCTCAAGCTCCAAATGCTTTGTTGTACAACTATGTCATATTTCCACTGCATGTGTCAAAAGGCCTACTGGGGGTCTAACGTGGAACTGTGTCTTTGGTTGCCACCTAAATAATAATTCTTTAAATTAAATTGACTGTTTTGCATGGGTAACAATAAGAATTTGTTTAGTTCAATAAAAAATGTTTGAACTGACTTTGTTTTTCTTCATTTATTTTTTGAACTTACAGATGGGTCAGTTTAGTCAGATCAATAGAACCAATCACTCATGTTGAAGCAAGTTCTAACCTTTTTTCAATTATATTTACCTGTTCAATAAGTCATCCATATGTGTGCAAAATGTAGAAAGGAGGGCAGGGTTTTAAGATAGCTGCAGGGAAAAAATTGACAGCAGGACGGAGTTGACTGAAGTAGTTAGCCAATTATGCAATATCCTAGAACCTCAACAGGGAAAAATACTAGGAAAGATAGGGAGACTAATGCTTAGTATGACATTTCAATCTTTAAATCTTATTTGCAACCCAAATAAGTTTTTGAAGATTTTTTCCAGGATATTTGTTCAATTTGGAATTATCCAGTCCAAAATTTGCTAAATAAACCTTTAGGGTATATATATAACAAAAATGTAACTTTATATATCTATGCATATCTTGATAAATCTTTTCTCTATACATATATTGATTAACATAATGGATCAAATGCGTGTGTATTTTTGTTGAAATCTTATTGAGATGAATACAGAACAACATTTTTAGAAAGGTTCGTTTGAAAGTCAGAGTTTCAAAGACAGAAGGAGTGAGAGAGAGAGAGAGAGAGAGATCTTCCATTCACTGGTTCACTCTCCAGATAGCCACAATGGCCAGGGCTGGGCCAGGCCAAAGTCAGGAGGCATGAGCTGCATTCAGGTTTCCCATGTAGGTGGCAGGAGCCCAAAGACTTGGATCTTATTCGGCTGCTTTTCCCAGGCCATTAGCAAGGAGCTGCACTGGAAGAGGAGCAGTCAGGAAATGAACTGAAATCATTATGGCATGCTGGCATCACAGACAACAGCTCTACCCACTACACAACAACACTAGCCATAAGAACAACATTTTAATAATGTATTTTCCAATAATCACAATACTTTGTTTTTCTCAGAGTCATTTCTAGATACTTCTACTTATTACTTTTAGCAAGCACATTTCTCCAGCAAACAGAAATACTGAAGTTATTCATTTTGCTATTAGTATTACGATCAGTGTTATTGCTGATTATAATCATTTCAATATCATTATTTCTAGGAAATCTTTGAATACTAAACTGATACTAACCACATTATGAAATGGTATTTCCTATAAAGTGTTCTGTTCTCATTTTTGTGAGTTACCACCTACTGCTCTCTATTTGGTATTTAAGGAAACTTGTGCTTCTGATTTATTTACATACTTCTATCACACCTGTTTTAAAATTTAAGTTTCCCTTTGTTCTACAGGACTGCTTTTTGATATGGCTACCACACAGATAGTGATAAATGTATGCTTTCCAAAGGGTCAGACCCTGTTTTAGGAGCGATTAAATACCATATTTATAGGAACAACAGAACAAGTTGAAAAGAGCTTGAGTCTTTCATAAAGTTTTGGAAATAATTCTTCTATCAACTCTAGTCTTTACTTTTTAAAGTAAATCATGGCTAATTTCCTCTTATGTGACGATTTTTGTTGGAAAACATGAGTGGGAGTTGGAAACTCAGGTCTAACCTACTTAAATCAGAGGGAGCATTAGTGCAAATATTCTTAAGCAAGCATTCATTGTCTAATCAAACGAAACTGGCTTACTCAATGTTCAGTAGCATGTCTTTCCAAATCCTGGCTCAGGCTCCTGACTAATGTGGGCTGCTCACTCTGATCCCAGTGGGGCTACAGAAATCTCCTATTTCCTTTCATTTTCAGGTATGCAGCTGCATCTCTAAGCCATGACTACATTGCTAAATGAATCACTGATTTGGAAAATCTGAAGTGACCTTCAACTTGTTCACAAGCTCTTTCTCAACAGAATCAGCAAAATATTAGAAAGAGGTGCTTTACCTAGAGGTATTTGCAGCAGGTAGAAGGTTGGAGGCCACTCCGGGATGTGTGAGGTGGGGGCCATTATGTTCTATATTTAGAAGTGACCATTTTGAATATGATTCCAAAGACAAAATCTGCTTCTTATAATACAGAAGAAAACACTGCCCCTGGCATCTCACCTGCTAACAGATATGCTACTCAGAAAGCATGAAATTCTTCATGGCAGTGACTTGGACTAGTTCTGAGTACTTATTTAGTGAGCACTGTGCTAGTCTTTCTTAATAGCTGTTACTGTGAAAGGTTATATGTTTAAACATTTTATTTTCATTATTCTTCTTAACTTCACCAACCTTATTCGTTATTGTCATGGGGAATGTTTTATCAATTTTTGCAGAAAGAGTCCCAGTCCTGAGGAGGAACACAGCATCTCTTCAACACTGACTGCTCCTCTTAATATGTGGTCTACCTAAAAATATAAATACTCAATAAAATGTATAGTTTGCCCCAATGCTCAATAAAATTGATGTAATGGAATATCTACATATCATATTCACTGAGCTGCTAATTGGCTTTACTGGAAAAGTCTTTTACCAATATAATCCAGTTAAACTCATTCTCCTGTCTGCAGAATCCTCTTCCCCTTAGGTACTGAGTGTTTCCAAAGGTGTTTCTATTTGAAGCAGGTATGGGAAGAGCAATTCACAAAAAACATCATTCCTTAAGTGTAGATGATTAATAAGTCTCAACACTTCTGAAACTGAAAGAATTTGCAATTCACTATGCCAAAGGTTTTCCATTATACTCCTAAAGCCATAATGCTGTAATCTGAGTTTCCCTTTAGTTAATCTACAGCCAAAGAAGTTACCTTGATTATTGTGCCATTTCCCATTCTTGCAGGCATGGAATCTTTGCAACTTCCCTAACTAATATGGCTCATGTATTATTAACTCTGGTTACAGTCAAGGAATCAGAGGCTCAGGTAGGTCTTGAACTAGAGCGGAGAGCAGCCTTCTGACTCATGTGTTCAGTCACATTTCAAACCCAGAAGCTGCCCCGTCTTTGCTGCAGTGAGGTTTGCACCAGGTTCTTCATAAACTTCTGAAACCAAACTACACCGCCAGACCGGTGCTGCTTTTGCTCTCTCCTAGCTATTGCCTAGCCATCTTATGATGAGCCAGTTTGGCCCTCCCTCATCCCTTTTTGTTGCTCAGGTGGGTGAACGTGATGACTGTAAAAGGCAAGCAATCAATATCTGGGGTTAGACTGAGCCCTGTAAGCCAATCTTCAAGCCCGAGCAGAGCTCCCTGTGTCCTTTAGTGTAACCTTGGCACAAGAAAAGCGACTTCCATTCCATTTCACCAACGTTTCGGTCAAAGATCAATTGCCATTGTAATTATATCATATATCACAGGACGGGGAATCAGTGAGAGGGCAGGCCCTCTAAACTAATACATATCATTAGCATTTAAAGAACACGCAAAACAAATTGGACATTAGTCCTTGTGTAACTCTTTTTTCTAGAGCAAATAATTTTCCAAATTAAAATGAATAAATTAATGAAATTGCCACATGACTGAGAATAAACCACATTGGTAATGTCATCAAGCCTTGAGCAAAGTTTAGCTCATTGTACTTCTCTGTCTGATCATTATAACATCTAATCAAGGGGAGCTTAAATACTTCAGTGAGCTCTCAAAATAAATTTGATCTGAGCAGCTCAGGTCTCATGGATTCCTAGGGTTACTGACTAGGTGAAACATGTTTTTGTTTTAATCCCTGTCTCAGCTCAAAGAGGATTAATGCCCATAATTCTCCTATCCCCATTTAATTGAGAAATGAAGTTTGAAGAGGCACCTCTTGGAACACTCCACTTTGAAGTATGACCCATCCACTGTCTATATACTAAATCTTCCTCTGCTCACACACGTTTATATACATCTTTCCTAACCTGAAGCAGGAGAGCAGAGAATTATTGTCTCTGTGTATGTGTGTGTGTGTGTGTGTGTGTGTGATTCTCTATTCAAAACACACAGCGTTGTTGCTTCCTCATTTCCACATTAGAATTATACTAAAGAAGGCATTCAGTGGAGAGCTCAAACTGCACCTCGAATCCTTCTCTGACATTCTAGCATCCCTAATGCAACAATAGCCCTTCCATTAAAAGCAATTCAATTCTGGTGTTAATGTTATGATTGTGATTTTTACTTTTACATTTCACATACCAGTAAAGGCAAATGCCTGAAGCAAAGAAAAAACTAAGATAACATGCCATAATTCCTCAGCTGCTGGACAGGCATTTGTGAAAAAGGGACAAAAAGAAGTACAGGGGAACTTAATGACAGTTTCACTTGTTCTGTAGAAATTTATGTGAGTATTTAATGAGGCAATGGCTGTATAGTCTTAAAACAGGTCTGGCTACAAACTAAGGTTCAAGCAAGTTCTGACTTTTATTTTATCATCATTTTTATGAAGAATGTTCACATCTATCTCCCAAATCCTGAGGCTTCAGGAGGAACATAAATGACAATCAAAACCTCAATGTCTTTACTAATCTAATCTTATTATTTATTTCAATCATAACCTACTGATTATGGAAGCCAACTCTAGTCCAGTATGGGATAATACTACTACACCAGAGAGTTGAGATCCTTGGGGAATATTTTGGAGGCTGGATACTGTAAGTACCTAGTGGGATTTCAATGAATGAAAATAAACTCATAAATAACAATTGATTTAAAAAGTTGAATATTTATGAATCAAACAGCTGAGTAGAAACCACCCTGGTTATTGAATAGATAGGGAAACCAAAAAAATCACAGAGATTTAATGATTGACTCAAGAGCTTGACTACATATCCTGCTAGCGTTTCCATGACATTTTTTCTATTAGGTTAGGCTTGCCTGTATAATTGTTAAAAACTCACCTGCATATGTGCTGGCCAGAAGGTTTGCAGTAATCACAAGTGTGATTTTTGTCTTGGAAGCATTTTTGCTACTTTCTAAAAATCACAGTACTAGCTTTATGACATGGATGGTAAAGTCACTGCCTGCGACACTGTCATCCTATATGGGTTCTGGTTCAAGTCCCAGCTGCTTCACATTCTACCCAGCTCCATGCAAGTGATCTGGGAAAAGCAGCAAAATATGGCCTAAGTGTTTAGGCTCTTGCTACCCACATGGGAAGCCCAAATGAAACTCCTGGCTTTGACCTGGTCCAGCACCAGGAGTGAACCAGATGATGGAAGATCTTTTTATCTGTGTCTCTCCCTCTCTCTGTAACTTTGACTTTCAAGGATTTTCATATTCTTGCCACCCACCCACACACACACCCACACATATTTTTACATACACCTGCTTAATCAGGCACTCATGCACTCCGTTTTCTGCTCTCTTTTACCAATAGCAAACTAAATTTGTTTCATGGTCAATGGGCCACAGAAAAATATTTCTTCATGCAAGTTAATATATGTATTTATAGAAACTTTGAAGCTTTCCTTCTTTTATTCTAAAATAGATTATGGAGGGTTGAATGTTCAGGCTTCATGCAAGAAATTTCCTGTTTGGGAGACTTTTTCCACTATTTCTGTCTGAATTGGTTGCCATTTGTATGAGAAGAAAATGAATACTAATGGAAAAGTCCAGAGTGAATTTGGAAAATCATTATCACTATTCCGCTACAGGTTTGGGCCTTTGACAAAACACCTATTCAAAGATGGAAAATCCACTATTTCCCCTCTGCATTGCTTTCTCTGAATAGAGCCAGATTGAATAACCAGGCTTGATAAAGGATTCAGAGCAGTTGCTTTACTAGGTAATAGTGAGCCCGTGTTCTAACCAAAGGGAAAGAAGCTGGCCTTCTGAATATTTAACTATTCTGTTTTCCATTGACATATTTGTGTTGCAGGATTTAGGAGAGAGCATGGTTTAAAAAATAAAGCAAGATAACCCATACATTTCACCATCCCCACAAGAGTCTCCTCCTCCACTCTCACAAGGATATTCCATGACTAAATTTGTACACAGAGACACACATTGGCACCCTTAGAGTTTTCTCTTGTTCAGTTTCCCTCTTGTGCCTTCAATATAGACTTTCCTTCTTTATGCATGTTCAAACTCTGCTGACCCTCCTTGAAGCCCCACCACAACTAGTAATGATTATGTAAATTCTTGCAAGTGCTTTTGACTTTCAAAATGCTTTCACGTAAGGAGACTCAATGATCCTCATCCAACTTTAAACATTTAGTCCAGCAAGTATTATCTCTTGCTTTCATCGATGAGGAAAAGGAGACTTGAAGTGGTTCGATTAGTAAATAAAGTTACAGAGCTAAAAAAGAAGTGACACTGGAGTTGATCCCTTCTTCAGTGAAACCCACTGCCGCATCTCCAGCTACAGCTTGAATGAGATTTTCCTTGTCAGAGTGCTTTTGGTACTTGGATTTCTTGTATGGAATGTAACTTTTAGGTACTAAATTCCTGGTTACTTCCTGCATGCATACAATTTACATGTGATCTAGAAATATACAATTGCTTCAATTTTTAACATGGATTTATTGCTGTTATTAAGTATTATCTGTCCTTACCAAATAGAATGGGCACAGTGAGAAGAGGATTGGAATTAACAGCAAAGAATGCATTAAACATTGTACTCTTTTTTTCTGTTCCCATAAATCCATGAGGTAGGAAAAACAGTAGTTTGAGAACTAGAGTTATAAACTATCTATTCATTCATTCAATTAAGACAGTCCATACATACTGTTTGATTTTCCCTGTTTTGGGACCTGAATTGCAAGTTACAATGGCATAATCTTGACCTCTTAAAACTGGTTAGAGAAACTTCCACTCTTTGAAATGGAAACAAACATGTGAACCAATGTGCATAAGGGAACTGAATTGTTGATTTCTTCACTTTCATTACATTAGAAGTAAGCACAAATTCTCTTTGACTCATCCAAATATAGTACAATCCCTCCTATAGGACACACTGAAATTGAGTATCCAAATTTGCCAGCTAAATTGTATGTACCTTAAACTGAACATTTTCTGTCAACATTTACATATGCAGTTTGGGGAGTCTGAATTTTAAACTCTCTTTTTTTTTTCCTTTAGGCTGTATCCAGAATGGAAAAGACAATACAGGGTAAGCAAACACTCCAAGCAGTCTGTCTTTGGTAACGGAAGAGAGAAAAACATGTATTCCACTTGTATTTAAAATATTTCATAGATAATATGAAATAATTTTGAATTGACCAGTTCTTTGGCTAATTCTGTTGAAAAACCCAAGAGTTAAGCCGGCGCCACGGCTCACTAGGCTAATCCTCCGCCTAGCGGCGTCGGCACAGTGGGTTCTAGTCCTGGTCGGGGCGCCGGATTCTGTCCCGGTTGCCCCTCTTCCAGGCCAGCTCTCTGCTGTGGCCAGGGAGTGCAGTGGAGGATGGCCCAGGTGCTTGGGCCCTGCACCCCATGGGAGACCAGGAAAAGCACCTGGCTCCTGGCTCCTGCCATCGGATCAGCGCGGTGCACCGGCCGCAGCGCGCCGGCCATGGCGGCCATTGGAGGATGAACCAACGGCAAAGGAAGACCTTTCTCTCTGTCCCTCTCTCTCTCACTGTCCACTCTGCTGGGAGGCAGAGGCCGCCCCTTCCAGCCTGGGGTCACTCACTTGGTCTCCAAGAGTTAGGACTTAGGAATATGTAACAGGATGTTGTTTAAACAGCCATGGCACAGAAAGAAATGTTTACAATGTTAGTGTGTTCAATTGCCATGCAATACTTGATGCTGAATATCCTTTGCCTTTTAAAATAAAAGATCCTGCAGACAAAATTCCTGCTCCTATTCTCAAAGTTACAAGTCCGATCACTCACCATACTTGAATTCTGCAATTTCTCTAGATAATTCCACATTAGGTGTGGCATCATTGAACAATCACTACGTGAGGGTACTTCAGAAAGTTCATAGAAAGTGGAAATAAAGATGAGTTTGTTTTGTGCATTTTTTGAAATCTATGTATGCAAGGTGTATTCAAAAAAGCTCACAGAAAATTCATATTATGAAAAAAATTATTAATAATCTTCAAGTGTTTTACACCAATATAGACTTATCTTTTAATCCCATTTTCCCAGTAACTTTTTCAAGTACCTTGGTAATAAAACACTTCGGAAAACTTAGTGGTGAGCCTCCAACAGGAGAAGTTACATAAAACAACAGCAACCAAATGGAGATCAACAGAGAAAACCATTAAAGGTAATAATATGAATGAAAATGGCAACTGGGAGTCAGAAATTTTAGCAGCTTCATTTCTGAAAAGACTAGGTATAAGCCAAACTACAAAGAATGTAGCATTTTGTGCAACAAAATCTGGGTAGATATAGTGCCATAACAGAACATCCTGAGAAGGTAAAAACGTTAGATATGATTCTACAATTGTGCATTCATTGAAGAATTTTAACTTCAATTTTATTTCCCATTTTTTTGTATATTCATCAGATCATCTGTTTGATTCTAATACATTCTTTACATGTGATGGACTTATGTACAGTTTGTGAGTCATTTAAGTAATAGTTGGTATCTTTCATAGAATATATTTTATACTGAAAATCCAGAATTAAAATATGGCCTATTTCATTTACCATGGTGTAATATAATCTTACTTTATTGGGAAATTCTCACATTCCCTGAAAGCCTCATCATCTCATGGTGACATTTCAAAACTGCTTTCATAAAATTAGGATGATTCCAGAAAGCTTGAAAACAGAGAGGAGTTATTCTTATGATATATGATCTTCCTGGACCTCTACCATATAAACTCTTAACATCCCTTCAAATCATATAGAAAGGCTGATTTTTCCTTCTTTGTACACAGCATTCATTTTTCCCACTCTCTGAGCTATTATTTATTATTTAACTTGGTTACTGTATTATTTAAAGAAAACAGTTTGCAATATTGCCTGTATGTGAGATGTTACACAGGGTAAAGCAATATTGATTGTATTGTAGCTATTAACTAGCATTCTAAAAACATGAAATGAGTGTGGGACAGTGAATCAGGGAAAGAATTACGTTTACCACCCTACAAACCAGAAAGGATTAAAAAAAATACCAAAACATACTCTAAATAACTCATAAAATTTTTGAATTTCTTCTTCAATGTCCATAGAGCCAGTTTGAAAAGTTAAGATACTACGTGAACTCACAGAAATAGAAATGGCCTTTGAGGAACAGACCATTATAAGAATACCCTGTTTAGTTAGGCTGCTAGTCCTAGAATTCCTCATTAATCTTATTTTTGGCTCTTGTTGATATTATCCTTCCTGAAAAGTCATGTTTAAATTATTTTTTCTGTCTATGTATGTATGCATAATGGCTTTCCTCCATTAACATATCTAGATTTCTCTGCTCTGGCTGCAGGTGTAGAAATTAGTGAAATAATATTACCAGTTGGGTCACATCATCCAAATGGGAATGCTATAGATTGGGTTTTACAAAGGCAGTAACTTAAGTAAATCTTTGAGAATAAATGGGAAGTATTAAGTACCAGTGGTTTAAATGCAGTTAATGAAGTAAGAAATGAGAAAATCTTTTTAAATTTGTTTATCCGTTTTATTTTATTTGAAAGGTAGAGAAACTGAGAGATCTTTCATATACTACTTCACTCCATAAATGCCTGCAACAACTTGGACTATGCCATGCCAGCACCTGGTTCCTGGAATTCAGTCCAGCTCTTCCTTGTGGGTAACAGGGACAAAAGTACTTGAACCACCACCTGCTACCTCCCTGGGTGCACATTAACAGGAAGTTGGATTGGAAGTGCAGGAACTAGAAACAGGCACACTGATATGGGATATGGGCATCCAAGCAGTAACTAATGTTCACCCCAAGAACACATTTTTAACAAAATCAAACTGAGTGAGAATAGAAGTAGATGTCATAACCTCTGTATTCAGTTAAAACATAGGGAAAGTGAAACCCAGATTAAAGAATAGAGGTCAAGAGATTAAATAGGAGGTTATTTATAGAAAAAAAAGAAATCAAGAAGAAGTATAATTTATCACTGACATCTAATTGGTCTCTATGGTGAGATGCATGATAGTGCCACCAATATTTAAAAGGCTATAGACAGGGAAGACAGAATTAATCAATCAGATAACCAGCTGACCTCATCCTTCTATTAAGTATTGTGGCAATAGAAAATATAGGAAGTTAGAAAACCGATGTAGCACATAAATCAATTAGAAAATACCATTTCAAAACACAGAACTTGTTTCTATAGTTCTTCTAAAACACATAGTTCACAGTGACTGATCATTAAATTCTTGTTAAATGACCATAAGTGCTATTTGTGTTTTCCAGATACTATATACCATAAACCAGGGAGGAGGTAAAATGTGAAGAGCAATAGATATTAAGGAAGCTTTCCAAAGAGGTGATGCCTTAATTATGCATTTGATAGTAAAATATAGACACAAGAGAAAAAGAAGAAAACAGATTGGGGTAAAATTAGAAGGAATGAATAAAGTAATGTCTCCATAAAGTACATCATTGCTCCGGTGATAAACCAAATTCTAGTCGAGAACCCTGTTGTCTAATTCAGTCATTACTATTTAATCTAGAAAAGTAGGTGATTTATTTTTTTTCAACGACTACTCCATTGACATATGATTCTGCTGTACATTAATGAGTATCACATAAATGTCCTTCCTAACCTGCCTTTGTTGATATGGAAGTCAACACACCTTATCCCTTTGAAGTCCAGCAAGTTGAAGCTCAGGGTTGACCTTGAGCAAGCTATTGTCTGGAATGTAAACCCTGTACCCATGAAAGGACAGGATTATAGTACTCTACAGCTTCTAAATCAGAGGCAGAGCTAACCTCATTTTATTTAAATGATATCAATAAGAAGATATGTGCACATTATGATCCAAATGAATATATTGATTTTTGTACAAATTGAGTGTTTCACTAATTTGCATAGATACAATTGAAACAATAAACTCGATGATAACAACAAAGTAGCTAATTAACTTGATGATCATTTAATTTTACTTTTGATAATGCATATGTTTTTATTTAGTCTAATAGGATGTAAATTATAACCAACTGGCTTTAAATACTCTCTCATTTGAAAAGTCTGCTCAATGAAGGAGAACCACCAAAATGTGAACTCCTCATGCTCCTGCTGATTCTAAGAAATGACAAACTTGCAGCTCTGTATTTGTCTGTGGCCTGATCTTTGCAGCAATGGTCAACTTACAAGATGGGAAATGCATTTCTGTTTGTATTTGCCTACACAAGACTCACTAATATTGTATTCTATCAATTAAAGTTTTAAAAAATCTGCTGATCACTACATTCATTCACTCCTATGCTAGACCATTGTAATATACTATTGAACATAACAAACTTTTCATTGGTGGCAGGGCCTCACATCCTAGAAACACAGATACTTACCTTTATGGGAAACCTAGGGACTAAAATTTTATGACATATTAAGGAGCACACCCTATTCTGTTATGCATATAGCATTGCATTTAATCTTATTATATGAGGGAAACACATGCAAACTAGGAGCTGGATGTGATTTTGGATATACTGTATGAAGAATAGGGTATAGGTCACTAGAGCAAGAGAACTCATAGAAATTAATTTCTACTGATTTAGGGGACATTAGGTAATCTGGAGAAGAGGTGGGAAAGGTATAAAGTAACTTAAAATACAACTTAAAATAGAGACTTTTGCTCAAAAGAAGAGAAAAAATTAGAAAGTAATTTATAACAAAATTTTAAGAGGGGAAAAAAACTACGTAAAAAACAAATTTCTGTATTTCAAAAGGAAAGTATGTGTAATTGACAATGAAAAACTGAAAAATACAGAGACTAGAGATAGTCACTGATATATCCCATATTATGAGGATCTATGAGCCAAGAGAGTCAGAATGCAACTGTAGAGGAGAGGATAAGAAGAGTCATCTCGGAGAACAACTATTGTCTACAGTTATCTATGCTAAAAGTTGTATTGTACTTTGACCTTCGACCCTCCACTGGGCTCTATTATATTCTATTACTTTAATTGTAAATAGTCAGGTGGAGTTTGGAAAAGGATCAGCTTATACAACTTTAAAAGGATAATTCTTAAAAATACCGGAATAAGGCCTATATCTCATATTGGTGTCTCTGAGTTTGAATTCTGTTTCCATTTCTGATTCCAGCCTCCTACTAATGCCACCCTGGGAGATAGCATTCATGGTTTTAAATAGTTGGGTTCCTACCATCCACAGTATGGAGTTTTGGGCTCCTGGCTTTAGTGTAGCCTATCCCCAGACTGGATATTTGTGGAGTGAACCAGCAAATGAAGGATATCTGTCTCTCTCTCTCTCTCTCTCTCTCTCTCTCTCTCTCATTCTCTCTCTCTTCCTCTCTCTCTCAAAAAAAAAAGTTTCAAAAATTTTACACTTGGAATTAATCACAAACAAGATGCTTCCTTGTTACTGCAAACTTATATCTAAGTTTGAATTTACTAATACCATGTGAGGAGAATCTACATTTCCATTATGTTACTACTGAAATGGCAGCAATCAGTAAGAAGGGAATGGAAGCATATTTATTTCCTTCTTCATATACTAGGTAACTGAGTGAGTACCTGTTCACCTGTTCTCATGTTTGTTTTAAGTGCACCTTAGCCCTTTGAAGTAGGCATGGGGTAGATAATTAGCAAATATTTATGGAAGCTAATTATGTTGTGGTTGTAGAAATCAAAATATGTTACATAAGGAAGGATAAAAGTGGTTTTGAAATGTTCTAATATTTTTGAATGTGATGCTGGTCTTGAAAAACATCTGTGTCATATTAAATGGAATCAGGAATTGAAACTTCCTGGTAGGTAGAGATAGCTTTACAAAAGAGTGAAAGTCAGGAGGAATCACTAATATAAATAAATTTGCAATATTTATAACTACCCAAAAGTTTAGCATTTTTATAGAAAAATTATTGGAATCATCTAATATCACTCACAGTACAAAATCATTCATTGGGTTGAGACATGGAATAAAACAATCAACTTATTTGACAAAGCCAGTTGGAAGAATTGACTTTGAGATGTGGCCATTCAGGTTTTCTCTTATGCTAAGTTGACACTTTGGAACTTGGCCTGCTCTGTGCAGCCCAAATAGAACTGACTTATTACAGACACCCTCACCAAGAGCTTACCTCAAGAATTTGACATCATGATGAAATAGACAAAATCCACCTTCCACAAGAAGGGAAAACCAAAGAACAAACCAGAAATGTTGAGTCAAGCCCTCTCAGATTCTTCCTCTGCATTTTCAAATATTCCTTTCACATTCTATTGGAAAGAGTAAGAGATGGTTGTAGATTGTGATCACAGTGCAGGGCAGTTAATATCAAATCAGCCTAGTACTGGCAGAAAAAGACATGTGGACCAATAAAACAGATTAGAATCCTTAAAAAGTAATCCATGAATCTACAAACAACTATTTTTTGAGAAATGTGCTAAATTCACTGTCAGGTGAAAAGATAGCTTCTTCAACAAATCTGGTTGATAAAATTATATCTCTGCATGAAGAAGTATGAAGCAAGACCTCTACCTTACACACTATACAAAAACTCAACTAAGAAATAACTGAAGATGTAAGCTAAGACCTGAAACCTTCAAATTATTAGAGGAAATTATAAATGAAACACTGCAAGACTTTGGCCTACACGGAGACTTTTTGGATAAGATCCCAGAAACACAGGCATCAAAAGCAAAAATAGACAAATTGGATGATATCAAACTAAGAAGCATCTGCACATCAAAGGAAACACTCAATGAAGTGAAGAGACAACCAACAGAATGGGAGAAAATATTTGCCAATGATACATCTGTTAAATGATCAATATCTAAAATTTATAAGCTGCTCAAGAAATTCAGGAACAAAACTAATGATCCAGTTAAGAAATGGGCAAATGACATGAACAGGCATTTTTCAAAGGATGAGCTACAAATGCATCACAATGAAAAAATGCTCAGAATCACCAGCCAGTAGAGAAGTGAAAAAAAAATTGCAATGAGTTTTTACTTTACTCCAGTTAGAGTGGTTATCATCCAAAAATGAAAAAAAAAATGCTGGTGTGGATGTGGAGAAAAAGGTACCTTAATACATTGTTGGTGGGAATATAAACTATTGCAACCATTATAGAAGACAATATAGAGATTTTTCAGATCTGTAAGTAGATCTACCATGTGACCCAGCAATCCCATTCCTGGGAATTTAATAAAGGAATTAAAATTATCATATGAAAAAGTTATTTGTGCCTTGTATTTATAGAAGCTCAGTTTACAGTAGCTAAAATATGGATTCAACCCAGATATCTATCAACTAATGAATGGATAAATAAAATGTGGTTTATATGAATGATGGAATACTACTCAGTCACAAAAACGAAATGAATTCCTGTCTTTTGCAACAAAATGGATGCAACTGGAAACCCTTATGCTTAGTGAAATAAGCCAGACCCCAAAATACAAATATATGTTTTCTTTGATTTGTGGTAGCTAAAATATAGGGTACAAAAATGTCATGTACATTGACATATTGAGATTTTATTATTGATTGATCCCCTTGTCTACACTCTTGTGGAGAAGTTAACTTTATATTTTCTATTTGGTTAATTATTTGGTGGAGTATTAAACCTGTGGCTGTAAAGTAAATTAAAAATGTTACTGCAAAAATTTAAAGAAAAAAGTAATGAAGGAGTAGCTTGGGCCGAAAGTGTTATTATGAGTTTAAAATTGAGTATATGAGATATGTGAAATCTGTTCTCTTTATGTAAGTAATTTTTTTAAAAAAAAGTATGTTATAAATGAAGAAACTGAGGCAAGCAGATATTTGCCCAGCTTGTGGATTTTGCATTTTTCACAAGGTTCCAGGAAATTCCTATCAGTCTGCCATTTGGGATATTTGGAGTCTAAAGAGTCCCCAATTGTTATTATGGAAAATAGTCCCATGATAAAGCAGAGTGTGTGATTCTAACTACATCCTGGTTGAACTGGGTGCTTTGGTTCTCTCATTCCCTGCAGTACAGGACTAAGAACAGCTATTTTATGCACATTATAACAGGGTAACTTCACAAAAAACAGTAATTGCTGAAATCTTGATAAATGTGCCCCAATATAGCCATAAGAAAATAATTCAATTAAACACTCATAAAGCATCCAGACTTGGAACTGTTGATTCCAACTCTTTCACGCTTTTCATATATTCTCCCTTCTGGCTCTAGAGGGTTTAAATATTTTTAAATTAGCTTATTCTGCCCCCAGAGGTCTTCATTTCTTCATTTGTTTTATTTGATCACATTAGCTTATAAGCTGCCTCATATATTTTTGGAATGTGTTTGGGGACATAAATACAGTCATGAAATTATCATATTCTCATCCAAAAGTTGATCTTTGGGATAGGCTGTACATAATCTCTCACTTAACTTTATTACAAAGCTTTACACATATTACACCCTTAGTAGATATTCCATGATTGATGTATACACTTGAAAGTTTCAACTCTTATGTTGATTTGAAATGTCAGGGTTCTCAAATCTGTTTCTTCTTTCCCCCTTTAGAACTTCACTCAATTATTTCTTATTCAAAATGCTCTTAGGTACCTCCATTTTGTCCTATCAGCTTTGAGGTGATCATTTCTAATTCTGAGGAATGATATGCCCCAACATTTGTGCACTTAATAAATGCACAAAGGAAGCTTAATTGGTGTAATAAATGCAATTAGAAATGTCTGTAATGAAGAAACTGCTGCTCACTTTTTAGAACCAAAGAGAGGATTGTCCAGATGGGTTAATTAATCAGTGTTAACTCTGATTTGATAAACACTTTGAGCTTCTCTGATAAAATGAGGATACATGAATGCCATACATTGCTCTCATTGTGTCTAGGTAGCATGTCACTAGGGCTTTTTTTCTCAGACCTCCATGTTCAACAAAGTTATCAATTCTAAAACTGACCCTTGCTCTCTCCAGAGGTATAATTCTCTTGCTACTATCGCTCACTTACTCTATTCCACAATTAAAAAAGATAAACATCAGTTTTCAAAATTTTACAAGATTTGTTTACAACTGACCAATGCACTTCTTTATTTATTTTGAGAAAAAAACTATTTTGCAGTCACTGTTATTCAACTCTTTGAGTGTTCATATTGTTCTGTGAATAGAAAGATGACCATTTTCCACAACTACTGTTCTTCAAATTTCCATCTGTTAGAAATTTTTGAGCATCTGCCAAGTATATCGTATAAAAGCAGTTTTTTGATATCTTGTAATGACTTTTTTTTTTTGGACAGGCCAAGCTAGACAGTGAAAGAGAGAGAGAGAGAGAGAGAGAGAGAGAGAGAGAGAGAGAAAGGTCTTCCTTTTCCATTGGTTCACCTCCCAAATGGCTGCTATGGCCAGCACACTGTGCTGATCAAAAGCAAGGAGTCAGGTACTTCCTCCTGGTCTCCCATGCGGGTGCAGGGCCCAAGAACCTAGGCCATCTTCCACTGTCTTCCCTGGCCACAGCAGAGAGCTGGACTGAAAGAGGAGCAACCGGGACAGAATCCGGCATCCCAACCGGGACTAGAACCTGTGATGCCAGTGCCACAGGCGGAGAAT